GTATAAATAAGAGTCAAAATTAGAATTTTAAGGCAAAGAGGAAAACCGTAGGAAATATCGGAGGAACTAGGAGAGGAAATTTCAAAGGAAGAGGGAACAAAAGGAACAATTAGGGGAAACAATTAAGCAAAAAAAGCAAGTGAGAGAGAGAGAGAGAGAGAGAGAGAAGGAAAGAATAATATTGAGAGAAAAAAAGAGCAAGAGAGAGAGGAAAATCAAGAACAATTGGGAGACGAGTAAAGCAACGAGAGAGAAGAGAGGGAGAGTGAAGGAAAATAGAAGAAAAAAGGGATAGAAACAAATTTCGCAGAAATTTAGAGGCTTAGGGTTTTTACCGAGCCGTTGGAAGAAGGTGATCTTAGGGCCAACATCACCAAGTTAGCTTTTATAGCTCCTGCATTTTAGAAGGACATTGTTTCACTAGTTGGGGCAACGAACCGTCTATAGCCACTCGCTCATCCTCGGCTAGGCCTCTGCAATCAACTTCCCGAGTATGCATTTGTTGTTTCCTTCTTCTATTTGCAACCTCAATTAGCTTTAATCGATTCCAAAAAGAAACGATTGATGATAGTGACTTCGTTATCGTTATCGGACAAAACCTTACAATACCTAAAGGAAGGAAAATAAAGGAAGGAAACTTGTTTTAATGGCTTGAAAAGGTTGGATTCTAGGTTTAGTTAGGCTGATTTTTAGGTTTTAGAGTTCGATTAAGAAAGAAAGAGGAGTCTAGGGTTTTCAATTTGAAAAGAAACAAAAGGAATTAAGGTAAATTTATTGAGAGTTTTAGTTAGTCCGAGGGTGAGAAGGAGATGATTAGAGGAAGAGAGCTTTAATACTACTCGAGGGGAAGAAAATGAAGGAGTAATGGGTATAGGTGTTTTACGATTTGTTCATGGTTTTGATATGCGGAAGGATAGATAATTTAGGATTTAGATTAGAGAAAGATGAAAGGAGAATCAATCTTTTTTTTTTTTTTTTTTTTGGTAATGGTTTAAAATGAAGAAGAAGAAGATAAAGGTTCAAGCATGAGGGGAAGAAGATGAGGCGAGTTCGATTTAGGGAAGAAGAAAGTTTCGGGTTTTGATTCCGGATTTGGGCATTGATTTAGGTGAAGTGTTCGAAGGGTATGAAAATGGCTATGAGGAAAAAAAGTGTGAGAGGGGCTACATAAAGATTTTAAGCGGGCTTGGCTTCGACCTCAACCCACACGTCAAAGCTTGGGCTAGGCTTAGCCTAGCCCAAGTTTCGAAGGAGGAAAAAGGTTGGCTCGCCCGAAGAAGGTAGTTTAGTGAGCCAAAGGCACACCGAACCTAAAAAGCCCAATACTCCTAATTTAGTCATTTTTTTAGATAAATTAGCTCTAAAATTTTTAATGCATGCCTTTTATTTTATGCCTCGTGAGATTTAATATTTTGAATTTTGAGTCTCTTACATTTATTTATTTACTTAGGTAATGTTTAGTTTTTAAGCTTTATTTCAATAATTATATTAGATAATTAATAAATGGATGAATCATTGAGTCTCTTAATTTTTAGGGACTCGGTGACGACTCTCCATAAAATAATAATAATAAATAAATAAATAATGATAAAAAGATAAAAAATAAAAAATGATAAAAAACATAAAAAGAAAAAAAAATGCTAGGTGAAAATTAAAAAGTCTAATATCTAATAGGGACTAATGTTAATTTCGATCAATTATATTTTAATAATTAGGTCATTCTCCCGCATATCATTTATATCGAGATTTGAACTGGATTCGACGTTGAACCGATGAGACTCTCGATGGTGTCCGATTATAGGTTCAATATGATACCACAAATAAAAAAAAAAATAGCTTAAGATCAATTTTGGAAAAAATAAAATTTTTTAGGAGATAAACTTTAGAGCTAAACTGGACGTGGTACCTTCTCTAGGAAATGATGTTTTTAGGTGATCGATATCTTTCAAAGTGCATGATCAACTTCTTACCTTAGAATCTTTGGACTAATGTCCATTTTAGATTGCTAATTATATGTAATATTAGGTGACGACTTCAAAATTAATAATAGCTAATGTCCTTAAACAAACAAATTTCAACTTATTTGTTATTTTTTGAAGTAACTACAATTACAATAATCAATGTAAAAATTAACAAAATCTATTAAAAAAAAAATCAACCATCCCTTTAAAGATTAGTTTCTATTAAAATAATAATAATAATAGTTTAACAAAATCTATGATATGGAACTTGATTGGAATCTTGCCACACAAAGTCCTCAGGAGCAAGAAATAAATAAATAATTAATTAATACTCCCATCTTAATTATTGCAGTCCGTCCCTACTTGACATGTACAGAAGAAAGGGGATTTAAGAAAAGTTGAAGAACCGTTCACCTTTCATAGGATGGAAAAATACTCCAATTAATAAGTTAGGTTGGCATTTTGAGAAACAAGAGATGAATTTTTCTCCCTCCATTAATGGTTTGTGTTTTTTTTTTGGGTATCTTTTAATTTTAATATAATTATTAATTTATTTATATATTTTTTAATTTAAATAGATGGAATATCGAACGATGGATATGGATAATATATCGAGTTTTTTTCCCTCGAAGAACTTATTATAAGGATGGAGTGTGTTTTTTATAAAAGTAACCCATAGATGTAAAAATGTTAAGAACATGGATACATGCAATCAAAACAAATTTTTTCCTCTTAAATTTGACATTCCAAAAATAAATTAAAAGATTTTTATAAACAATGAGTCGAATCACAAAATAATTTTCTAATTCTATAATAAACCAAGCAAAATTTTTAACTTTATACTACTAAGTTTCATATTTATTGGCCTTTATCATTTTTGAAAAATAAAAATAAATTAATTTTGACAAAATTTTAAAATTATTTTTACCGATTAAAAAATATATATAGAATATTTTAAAAAAAATTAAAAAATCAACATGAACTTTTCTGTACCAATGATTTTTGTTTTTTTGGGTATCTTTTCTCCTAAAAGTATAGAATAATTTTGCTCTACTTTTGGAATACTGTAAAGTTTATATGGTAATATAGAACCATCATGATTCTCATTCATGTTTTGATATGTTGTTTTTATTTTTTAAATAATTTAAATAATTTTAATTTTAATATAATTATTAATTTATTTATATTTTTAATTTAAATAGATAGAACATCGAACAGTAGATATATCGAGTTTTTTTACTCAAAAAACTTATTATAAGGATGGACTGTTTTTAATAAAAGCAACCCATAGATGTAAAAAATTTCATAATGTTACAAACATAGATACATGCGATCAAAACAGAAATTTTCCTCTCAAATTTGACATTCCAAAAAATAAATTAAAAGATTTGGTACAAACAACGAGCCAAATCATAAAATAATTTTCTAATTTTATAATAAACCAAGCAAAAATTTTAACTTTATACTCCTACGATTCATATTTATTGTCCTTTATCCTTTTTGAAAAATCAACATAAATTAGTTTTGCCAATTTTTAAAAGTTAATGCTTCTATCTTTTATAACTATATTATTAATTTTTATATAATATAATATATAAATATAAATAAAAAAATATGTTATATTGATTTTTTTAAAATAAAAAAAGACTAATAAAAATAAACGCAAATGAAGTATTATTTGATTAATTATTTATTACATTAGAGAGGAAGATTAGGAGATTATTTGTTTTTTGAACTTGTGAGATGGCGAGTAAAGTTACAAGAAATAAAATAATTAATTATATCATTTTTTTCACTAATCACTGCTTTAATTTATCATTAATCTGAACAATTATGAAGCAATCAACGGCAGTGCTACGTTTACTAGCACTCCTTGTTTCACGACTGCCCACGTGTTATTCATTTACTCGCAAAAGTTTACCAAGTCATCTTTTCTCACCTGCCTTGCAACCTACTCGCCTCTCGCCACCTACTGACCAATCTCGATCAATTTGCCAATAAAATAAAGCCACGTATCAGCGGTGACTTTATTCCTGAATGCAAAGTACAAGGGGTAAATCATAAAAAGCACCATCCATATCTTGAGCAAAATTTATTTAAAATTAATTTTGGAATTAAGTTGTCTCAATTCCATACATTTCATTTTCATTTTTATTTTGTTAAAATAATTTTGTAATTAAATTGTTTCAATTCGATGCATTTAATTTTTATTTTTATTTTTGTAGTTGAAATGAAATTTATCAATCTTATTCCACATCCACCTTGATAACTCCTAAAAAAAAAAAATTTACCACAGTATTATAGTGTTAATTTGAAATAATTGGCCTAATGATTAAAAAAAAAAGTTAATTTTGTTTTTATTTTTTAGATTCAAACTTTAAGATCACTACTATGAAAAATGTAATATATATATCAAATTGATGTAAAAAATATATTTTTAAAATATGAAAAAAAAATTTAATCTTGATAGATGCTTAGTCTAATTCGAAGATACTCTTTCCTTCCAATTCAAACTAAAAAATTAGCTTTTATATATATATTCTCATGATTTTTTTTCTAGTCAATTATGATGACTAACACCAAATAAACTCTGGTTTTTTTTTTTTCCATCTGGTGTTCATGATTTTTTGGACTCTATAATAAAAATAATGCTCTTCATTACATAATTATTTAAAAAAAAAATTAGAATTATTAAAATTCCAATTTTATTTCACAATAAAAATTAATTAGAAATACAGTATACAGCATCGTTGGACCAAGCTTATAAAGCTAAACTCTCTCTTTTGTTCTCTTTAAAAAAGAAGAAGGGAAAAAAAAAAAAAAAAAAACTGTTGCTTAACGCCACCCCATTTGCCCCACAATCATCCGGGGAGCCAACAATAAACAAACTTTCCGCCACCATACGCTTCTATTTTTATCTCTCTTTTTTCTCTCTCTAAAAGCCCACTCTCCGTCTCCGATTTTTCTCTCTTTCTAGCACAAACTCCCACGCAACTGAAACTACCAACAAACAAAAACTAACTCCCACCTTTTCTCACAATGAACTCCTCCTCCTCCTCCTCCTCCTCCGCACTGACCAACTCCACCTCTTCTTCCGACCCCGACACGCCACCCTCCTCCTCCTCCGCAGTCCGCCGTGCACTACTCTTAATCCAGTCTGATGATTTGAGTTTGAAGATAGAAGCGGCGAAGGAGATAAGAAGGTTAACCAAGACTTCTCAGAGGTGTAGGAGGCAGTTAGCTTGTGCTGTTAAGCCGTTGGTTTGTATGTTACGAGTTGGTGATGATGACTCTGTTGAGTCGAACGAATCGGCTCTCTTGGCTTTGCTCAATCTTGCCGTTAAAGATGAGAAGTATGTGATCTTTTTCCTTCTTCTATACGTGTGTAATTTTTTTAAGGTAGTTTTGTAATTAAGTGGAGTTGTATTGGTTTCTCTCCAAATTTTATTGTCATGGTTTTTTTTTTTGTGTGTGTTTGTGTGTGTGTGTGTGATTGAATTGGGTGTGTTTTGCAGTTACTTTTAGTGCCTTTTGAAATTTGTGAGTATTTCCTTTTTTATGAAAGAAGTTTCTGTCGGTGAGAGATTGAATTATGTTTGTTTTTCTCTGTGTTTTGTGGGTCTGTTCATCAATTAATTGGAATTACGGGGGTTTTGTTAAAATTTGTTGAATTAGGGAAATTTGATTTTATTTTTGAAAAAATGAGCTTGCAGTATTTTTCATGAAATTTTCTTTGAATTGTGAAAAAAATGATGACTTTTTTCTAAAATTAATTGAATTATTAAAAATTTACGAGGGCTTAGAATTTAGATTCTGTTTTGTATTTAATTTGGAATATGAGGGCTTTGTTGTGAAATTTGTCGTTTAACAATTTATGAGGACTTAGGTGTAATTATTTTTTATTCAGGGTAATTTTGTTGAATTATCAAAAAATAGATTGTTGTTTGTGGGGATTTTGATAAAGACTGGTTCTTTGCTTGAAGTTGAAGTTGAAAACGGGTGGTGACTCGTTTCCCTTTCTTTAACTTTTAAGATAAGATTTGCCTTGGATTCCTCAATTTTTGATGTTAAAGAATCGATGTGGCTACTGTAAGAATAAAGAATCTATTCCTTTCTATGCTTACCTTTCTTCTCTCTTTTGCATTTGATTGGTTAGTTTCGATTACTATGACTTCTTTGACATTTGGGATTTTAGTTTATTCAATTTGTGGAAGTTAGTTTTCTTTGCTTTTTGTGATATTGTTAAAAAGGACTCTTTATTTAATTTTTGTATTTGTGAAAAAGGGCCACTTTAAAACATGGTAATTTGGTTTTTGGTCATTGTTGAATGGTATAATATGGTTGTACTAGTGCATAGATATTTATTTGGTGGTGGGTTTATAATTTGTCGGCGGAATTTTAAATGAATGGAGGCTTTAGAAAGAATTGGATGCTTTTATGGTTGGAAATTAGAAGCTATTGGATTGGACGAGGTGGTGCTTCTTTGATTCACATGTTACTCTGTCTTTTTGGTCTTTTCACTTTTTCCCTTATCTTCTTTATGAAGTTGTCATATGATAATTATGGGTTTCTTGGTTTGGTGGGGTGAAGTAGAGGTTGCATAACTTCTTGGAGAGAGAAAGTCATGTTCTTTCTCTTTCCTTTCCTTTCCTTCTCTCTCTTTTTTGAAGTGTTTCCTCGTCTACAAGTGTTACTCTTTATTAGTGGAAACTGCTGATGCCATTCTTTTTTAATCCTTAATAGTGACTTATCTTCTCACTTTGAGGAAATGGTGCATATTGGCTTTGGTGTAATATGAGGAGAGAAAGTTGAATAAACTAGCTGAATGAATTTGATTATGGACGTAATTGCCTCTTGAGAGTTGATGTGAGAAAAGGTGAAGTGGAGGATAAATTTCTCCAGGAGAGAGAGCTTGGTCCTTGAGCATACTATGTCCTAGTACTTTTCTGGTGTAATCAGCCTACTTAATGAGACTGTATTCTGCAAGGTTTTCTGGATAGGATATTGATACCATTTGAATTAGTCTTTTCACTGGTTGCTTTACACTTGGATTTGTGGATATGATTAGCAATGAAACTTCAGATCATTTGTTGTAAAATGCGTTTTTCAGGGTTTAATGGTCAAATTTGTGGGGAAATCGGTTATGCTGTTCCCAATCTTTTCTTGGGATTGGAAAAGTCTATTGTGGTTGATTCTGTGTTGAAATTGAGGGCTTTTATTTTGTTGTAGTAGCAAGGTTTTAATTTTGTTGTTTGTATGGTTTTATTTTTTGTTGTTTGTATGACTTTGTAACAGTGGCTTCAGGTTTATGCTGTTAGCGATATGACTTTTATTTTGGGAACTGATTTGTGGACATTATTAATTTGGTGGTTGATTTTTTACTTTCTTCAAATTTCTCAATTCTGCCTTATCTTGCAGGAACAAAATTAGCATCGTGAAAGCTGGAGCTTTAGAACCCATCATTAGCTTCCTTCAGTCACAAAATTCAATCTTGCAGGAGTATGCAACTGCATCTTTGCTCACCCTATCTGCCTCTACCATTAACAAGCCAGTTATAAGTGCTTCTGGTGCCATTCCTCTCCTTGTTGAAATCCTCAGAAATGGGAACGCACAAGCCAAAGCGGATGCTGTAATGGCTCTTTCTAATCTTTCAACACTCCCTGATAATCTCGACATAATTCTCAAAACAAATCCAATACCTTCCATAGTTAGTTTACTAAAAACCTGTAAAAAATCTTCAAAAACAACTGAAAAATGCTGTGGTCTCATAGAATCTTTAGTTGGTTTTGACGAAGGTAGAATTGCGTTGACATCTGAAGAAGGTGGAATCCTTGCTGTTATTGAAGTGCTTGAAAATGGGTCTCCCCAGAGTCGAGAGCATGCAGTTGGGGCACTCCTAACGTTGTGTCAGGGCGATCGTTGTAAATATAGAGAACCAATCCTCAGAGAAGGTGTGATCCCCGGACTTCTTGAGCTCACTGTTCAAGGAACACCCAAGGCCCAGCCAAAAGCACAAACACTGTTACGCTTGCTGAGGGACTCTCCATACCCGAGATCAGAACTTCAACCAGACACACTAGAGAACATTGTGTGCAACATCATCTCCCAGATAGATGGAGATGAACAATCTGGTAAAGCAAAGAAGATGCTGGCTGAGATGGTGCAAGTTAGCATGGAACAGAGCTTGAGACATCTACAACAAAGGGCTTTGGTATGTACACCTACTTCAAATGACCTCCCTATCAGTAGTAGTTGCACTTCCGAAGTATCTTCAAAGTAACTGTTTTGTTTATCAGTTTTTTACTTCTTTCCTCGTGGGGCTTGTGAGATAAGTTTTCCTTGTAGAAAGAGAGGAAAAAAAAAAAAAGTATAGTGAAGAATATGCCAGTCCAGGCCGTTGTCTAGGTATCGGGTGACTGGTGAGTGTGAAGTTGTATGAGGTTGAAAAATATAGTTTTTTAGTTTCAAAATAAAAAAGAACTTGGCTTGTAAATAACTGTTGTACCGAATGTTACACGATCATTAAAGTTCCTGTCTCTTATATAATCGAGCTTTGTCCTGATCTTCTGATCTTTTACTCTGTATTATTGATTTGGATACTCCTTAAATCAAACCATGTGTCTTAACCAACTCCATTCCTTAACGTTTCTTGATTATGATACTGACTAATGTGACTTGTAATTCAAGATTGATAGACTCGATGTCAGCATCAATCTAGTGTTTGTTCAATTTCTTGGCACGACTCCTTTGGCTACATGATTTGTTCAAGAATTTTTGGAATCTTGGTAACATGATTCCTTGACAGGTTAGGTAAGATGGGGAAAATAACCGTCTAGGAATCATGAAGGGGGAGAAATCCCGCTGAAAGCTTTGAATGGTTGCCTATCCATATACCCACTAAAGCGGTCTCATTCATAATTTTTAAATAGCGATCATTTATAAGAAAAAAGATCACGATAGCGATCGTGGATCACGACAATAAAATAATAATTACAATGACGGATATCATAAATATATTAACAACTGTTAATAAATTTATTCTAATTCATATATTTTTAACAGTTATTATTTATTAATAGTTTTACTAAAGAATATTAATAAGTAATAACATATTTTAATTTTCATAAATTTGTTCAGTGTTGATTATATTTAATGTAAGATATTTTATTTCATATTTTATTTTCATCATTCTTATCATGATGTAAATTTATTTTTTTATTTTTTTATTTTTTAGAACAAAAAGGAAAACAAATTAGAAAATAACATAAAATTAAAAAATATGACTAAATAATTGGTTTTTAAAACAAGAAGGACCAACTACTTTATTTTTCCAAACTAAAGACACTAATTTATAATTTATTCAATTAAAACCTGTATTTGTTGCCCAACACAGAAGACATACAATCTAAAGTAAATTATAAATTAGTCTCTCTAGTTTTGATAAATGAATTAATTAGTCTTTAATGTTTTATAAACTAATTATTTAATCTTTTGATTATGTTTAATATAATATATTTTATTCAATAAAATATTTTTTCACCAATCTTTTCATTATATAAATTTATTTTTTCATTTTTTCAAAAAAAAAGGGAAAAAATTAGAAAATATCATAAAATAAATAAAAAATTGGTTTATGAAATAAAAAGGACTAACTAATTATTTTTGCCAAAATAAAAGAACTAATTCAATATTTATTCAATCAAGCCTACAACTATAGTATTTGATTCTTATTCTCTAATAAAATAAACTCTCAAATTCTAAATCTAAAATATATATATTTTTTATGCATAACTTCATTATAGAATAATAATAATATTATTTATCATTACATATATGATACGATATCATGATATCCATAATATCGAATAACAAGGTTACGTGATGTTATTCGATAGTGGGTTGCTGGATATATATGTCTGACTTAGAACCTGCCATTCATTATGCACTTGTAATGATGCTAATTGCGGCTTATTTCCATGGTTACATTTCTTATCAACAGTAATTCTGAGGGCAGTTTGCTTCTCAGTCTTACCTTGGACTTTCTGCTCTCTTCAAGCCAGTCAAGTCTTAGCTAGGTTTCCACTCTAGTGTCCTAAGAAAATACGTTTGTGTTTGAAATTGACAGAAAGGAGAGACTCTGTTCATTAATTAATTTATATATATTTACCGTAAATACAAAGAAAGAGGATAATGACATCCAAGTCTCCAATAGCTATCCCAAATCAGCTCAAATTTGTTCAAATCTAAAGCCACACCAATAGAGACTATTTCCAATCAGGCATAAACATTTATTTGAGGATATCCAAATTTTTAAGAATGCTCATGTATTTCATCGAGGACCATGATACACTACAGTGACACAGTAGTTATCTCATGACACTTAAAAAAATTAGGAAAAATACACTTTTAAATAAGAGTAAAAGCTAGTAGATTTTTTTTTCTTCAGATATCTTTATCCTGTATTAAAGAGAAGATTAATCATGTTTGAAATGAAACTGATAATAAATATGATTTTAGAATTTAAATACTATATATTGATAAAAAATTCATTTAAAACTAGCTCACTTGTCACGAGATCAATAATTTATCAATTAGTAGCGTTTTTTTTTCTTATTAACAAACTTGAAACTACATGATTATATTCCACAATTTCATAAAATTAAGGTATCTTAATAATTTTTCTTTCTAAAAAAAAGCCTTCATGATTATTTGGAAAAAGTCATACTAACTAACCACATCCAAGTGTGCAATTCATCTCCTAAATTATCTCCAATCTAATCCAAAATTAAACATGCTTAATATTTATCTTGAAAAAACTACTACAGAGTGAACTACTCCTACTAGAACTCAACAAACTTATTCTTAATAGCCTCTGAGACATTTTTTTTTTTTTACAGTATTCTCTTAACTTCTCTCGTGATAATGGCTAGAAACTCCAATGAAATTGAAAACCAAGAGATTTCAAACATGGAAGAAGGTCTTGCCGTCTCCACTGACCCCAGTGCCAGTGGCAAATTTGATTGTTGTTCATCACCTGCAGCCCCGACCATCTCACAAAAGGTCAGATAGTCTAGGTTTTCTTGGAAATATTGCTGGTTTTCTCTTTATGTATTCTTACTCTCGACAAAAATACTGAAAAAGCAGCATCCACATGGGGGACTGGAAAAAAAAAAAAAGAACGAAAAAAAAAAAAAAAAACACCATTCCCTATGTGATGACCTAGTAAGTTTGGATAGGCTATTTATCGCATTTGTGGATCATTTTACAGTTTATTGCTGAGGTTATCGGAACCTACTTTGTGATATTTGCGGGATGTGGATCTGTTGCTGTGAACAAGATCTATGGCTCAGTGACATTCCCAGGCATCTGTGTGACATGGGGTCTGATTGTTATGGTTATGATCTATTCAGTTGGTCACATTTCCGGGGCACATTTCAACCCGGCAGTCACCATCACTTTCACCCTTTTTCGCCGGTTTCCGTTGTGGCAGGTTAGTGATCTTCTTCTGGGATTATATATATGTTTTGGGATAATTTTACATTGATCATGGTAAAAGGTGAGAACAAAATTGTTGTCTTCAGTTCCTGTATTCTTTATAGTTCAAATTCTTCGAAAAAGCCTACAACTTCAAGGACAATTTTCTCAACAGTTTTAGCCTCAAAATGTAAGTGCCAATTGAAAGGCTTGCCGCTGGTCTATGTTTGTTTAGCTCATCCAATGCAAGAGAATTGGACTCGAAGCCCATAATTTGGAACACAAGAGAGGCCCATAATTTTCAAACTATTCTAAAAGCCCTAAAAATCCAAAACCCACCTTAAGTCCACAATAGCTGAACTTGGGTGTTTCCATTATTCTCTGCAAAGTGCACTTGCATTGCATTGAAACTCCTAATGCAATACTAATTATGTTGATCCTAGCTAACAAGTTGATTTGATGGCTAAGACGTTTGATTCTTTTTTTAATAATATATCATCGAACAATACAAATTATTCATTATTTTCTAACGATAGGTAACGTCTGAACATGCTTATATTTTTCTTGGATGTATGAACTTTATACGATTGAACTGAGTGATCATATCGCTAATCATAATTTTATGGTTGTAATTTGAAGGCTCCTTTTTACGTCATAGCTCAGCTAATGGGATCATTTCTTGCTAGTGGCACATTAGCTCGAGTGCTAGATGTAACTCCTAAAGCGTATTTTGGAACTGTACCAGTGGGTTCAACTGGGCAGTCATTGGTTCTTGAGATCATCATTTCGTTCCTCTTGATGTTTGTCATTTTTGGCGTAACCACTGATGAAAGAGCGGTCCGTTATTGTAACATAACTTCTATAATCTTTTTTTATGTATATATATAGCTGCCATTCTAGCAATAAGATAATTTGCTAGAGAAATTCTAAGCAGATATGGTTGTATCGTTATACCTTTATATCTCGTTTTTTAGCAGGTGGGAGATCTAGCTGGGCTTGCTGTTGGAATGACCATACTATTAAATGTCTTCGTTGCCGGGTAATTTTCTACTTTGTGGAAGAATTATTCAAGCTTTTGTTCTAAAACATTTAATGAGAGATATTGGTTTCACAGAACAATTTTTATAACGTACGTGTTATTTTTTTGCAGGCCGATTTCAGGAGCTTCAATGAACCCTGCAAGGAGTATCGGCCCTGCCCTTGTTATGCATGAATTCAAAGGATTGTGGGTGTATATTGTAGGACCAATTATTGGAACCCTAGCAGGAGCCTTCGCATATAACGTCATAAGATCTACAGACAGGTCACTTGGTGACCTAACCAAGGTTGGTTCCCTCATCAAAAGCGTAACAAAGAACAATGCTAGTTAAATGAAATGGGTTGTTCTAAGCTTTTCTTTCGTATATTCAAACTTCAGCTGATCTTCAGCTGATCTCTCCATCTTTGAACAAACAATATTTTCCCTTTCTATGTTGTGTAAATATTTGAATGTTGCTTGGCTTGTTGGAATGAAGCTAGTTAACAGCTGAATTTCATGCACCAACCAGCTCTAATTGGATAAAACTAGTTGAGTTTTGTCGAAAGATTATTCAATTGTTTGGCAATACGGTTCCGATAAATTGTTTGACGATTTTCAGCTTTTATTTTCTTTGTTTAATAATCCAAATTATCAAGTCAGTATTCTCTCCTAGCTAATTGAATGGCCATGGTTTGCCATGGAATTTTTTTACTGTTGATAGAAATCTATAGCGTACTCAGTTGTTAAGCATTAGGCAATAAAAGATTCATTTATTAGGTATTAAAAGATTAACGTTAGAAGTTAATAGCTAACGGACAGAAGAAAAAGATTGTATTATCATGATGAATTGAATTGACTATCATTACAAAGATTAAAAACTACTATAACTTCTTCATATAATAGGATTTTTTTCAATTCAAATATTCTGAAGAGAGAATTTGAAACTATAATATCTGATAAATACAATAAACTAACTATTACTATACTAAAAACCTGGCCTATTGATGGTTTGCCATGTATTCACTAGTACTATGTGGTTTGTTAATATCATATCTCCTGTTTCCCCGTCTAGTGTTGCATTCCTATATGGGAAATTGAATTATTAGTTCAATGGAGGAAATATATGTAATTTGAAAATATCTTCTTGAATGTTTTATTCTTCAGTGCTGGATTTTTAAGCTACGGGATGCTTATATTCGTACTATAATACTAATTTCAATTGTATCTTTTAAATTTCAAGATTTACTTTTTATTTATTGAATAGCACATTAGGTAGTAGTTCTAATACTTTCATCGAATTTCAGTTAATTTGGTCACTTAAATATATCGTGGGGGGTGAGATTAACCATTGGTAGAGTCCCAATAAGCACCATTCTACACAAACATGAGAGAATAATAAAATCCAAATTAGTCCCCAATCTATAATAATTTTTTTTTTAAAAAAAGAGGTTGGAAAGTTGATAAAATATGGACATAATTAAAGAAGTTTGGTAGACAGCTAATTTATAGAACCAAGAGATGTAAAATTGGGGAAAAAAAGAAAAAAAACAAAGACAATTCATCATTCATCTAAGTGGCAAGAAGAATTAACTAATTAATGCTTATTCCTCCAACATATTTAAAGTTTTCAGCCATAATCTTTCCGGATATTTTGAAAAGATAGAAAGAGAGAGGAAAGAAATATCCTATGCACTTCGTACGTGACTTGTACAATTTTTTTAACAATGAGGAATCAGGAACCCCAACCCAAATTGTGTGTGTGTGTGTGTGTGTGTGTGTGTGTGTGTGTGTGTGTGTGTGTGTGTGTGTGTGTGTGTGTGTGTGTGTGTGTGTGTGTGTGTGTGTGTGTGGTACTCGTCAATGTCTCGGGTTTTGACCTAAATCCTATCCAATTTCAATGTACTTAAAAAAATTTATTATGTATTTTTTATAATCTGATCAGTTTGATTATGATTATGTGAATATGCTTATTAAAAGATTAAATATGAATTTATTTTGATCTGTTTTGATAATAATCTAATTCGAAATTAATGTTAACATTATTTAATAAATTTAATAATTTAAAACATAAAATATTTTAAATATAAAAATAAGAGATTTAGGGTTTATTTAATCCAGATGCTATAACATTCTATACTTTCGTTCTTTTTTCTTCTTTAAATTAGCGTCTATCCTTACAAGCATTTTCATCCTTTTTTCAAATCTCAAATTAATTTGGTGAAAAATATATAAATATTTGAAAATAAATTAATTAACAAGTTATTACTAATATTATACTCGTGATTCTAATTTATAATATCAAATTTGTTTTTTTTTTTAAATCCATTTAAAGCTTTTTCTTGAATAATTTTTTTTCATGTCAATCAAGTTGTGTTAAGAGTGAGAATTTTAATATGTTTCTTTAGCTTTGTCGTATTTATTGTCCAATTTAAATTAATTTTTACTTTTATATAATTTTTTATTATGATTATTTGATTTTGTTAATTAATTTTTACTTTTATATAATTTTTTACTATGATTATTTGATTTTGTTCTTTTCAAAAGTAAAATATTTTAATTTTTTACTATATATATATACATGATTAAATTCGATTTTTTATTAAATAAATTATATTATTATCTATTATGATACTGTCCGAATCCAATTAAAGGACATTCCTCCTCAAAGACCGAAAAAAAAAAAAAAACTCCTGTAACATAGACCGGGACCGTTCCTATCATGGAAAGGGAAAAGAAAATAATGATGCTTATACAAATATTCCTTGCCAATGTACCATTTCAAGATCCTTTATGAATTCTTGCTTTTTTGATGATTTGGTAGACGAGCTATTGATCGACGTCGTCCTCCTTAGACTGCCCCTGAAGTCAGCTCATCAGTGCAAATCAATCTGCAAACATTGATTCTCGTTAATAGCTAACACCTGCTTTGTTCACCAGTACGAACATTTTTGAAAATCTAGAAGCTCTATTCGATCTAGGTATTCTCTTGTTTTCCAGTACTTCAATAGATATGGCGAGATAGAGGTAGCATGTAAAGGATCATCATTCAAATCCCAAAAGTTTTATTTCGAATTCCCTGATTCAAAACGACTTCTTTTGTTAGGGTCCTGTAATGGTTTAGTGTTACGCAGTACAGGTTCCAAAGGTCGCAAGGTTTACCATATTTGTAATCCATTGATCCCAAACAACGTTTTTCACTTCCTACACCACCTGAACATGGTTATCTCCGAGTTGGCTAGCTTTTTCTGCGATAATATTTTACAAGGATTTTCTAGACTTGGTGTTCCTAATCGAAGACAAGCATTTTCCTTCCGTCGGTGCTACGTTCGGAATAAAAATCTTTTCTTCAAATATTGATACTGACGAACGTGATTGGAGAGAGTTCAGTGTGCCTTGCTGATGTGGCTCTCGAACTCCTGTGGTTTTCTGCAAGCCATAAGCTACACAGCAGTAATTTAATTTTCTGTACTTTTCATTCTTTTTTCTTTCTTTAATTCGTTTAATAATAATATCCTAGCTAGTTATAAAATAGATGTTGTTTTGTCATGCCTTTAGTACGCGTACTGATACGTCCAAGAATTTATAGGAGGTAGCAAAAATGACAGGGCTTCCTTTCACGTATCACCTACAAAACAGGAAGGTCCCTCCTTCGAAACCCTTCAATAGTTAAGTAAATGGCTGAATCGTAGAAGAGCTTTTGTTTAACTATTTAGGGTTTTTTCTGGTACGAGGTTTTCTAGCAAAAAATAACTTTGCACCGAATATTATGCGATCAGTAAAGTTTCGATCCTGTCTCTTTTCTAATCCAGCTTTGTCCTGATCTTCTGATCTTTTCCTCTGTATTATTGATTTGGATACCGTTGAAATCAAACCTTGCTTCTTGATTATGACATTGATATGGGTAGTGGACCAGGGTGACTTGCCATTCCTGATTGTTCCAAAAATTTCTTGGCACGACGCCTTTGGCTGCATGGTTTGTTCAAGAATTTTTGGAATCTTTGTGACAGTATTTAACAAAGGCTCTCTATTCATTCATTAACTTGTATATATTAATTAACCGTAAATACAACAAAGAGGATACCGACATCAGGTATCTCTCTTTTTTTTTTTTTTAATTATGGTTTTAGATTTGCTAGTGGCCGACAACAAAGTCTCCAAAAGCTATTCCAAATTAGCTCAAATTTGAACAAATTGAAAACCACACCAATAGGCTATTTCCAAGCAAGCACAAACTTTTGCTCGAGGACATGCAAATTTTAAGAAATTGATGATGTATTTCACTGAGGACCATGATACAGCGACACACTAAAGCAATACAATCTCATGACACATGAAATTAGGAAAAATACACTTATTATAGTAATAAAAGGAGTAAAAGCTAGTAGCTTTTTTTTCCTTATTAGGGAAATTAAAACTACCTCACTATATTCCTCAATACCCCTTAATGATTATTTGGCAGAAGTTGTTATCACTCTATTTTCAAACCCAGCGGCCCCGCCCCCCCCCCCCAAAAAAAAAAAAAAAAAAAAAAACCCAAGGCACTTGCTAAGCCCACGTGTGCCAGGCTCATTGCTGGCTATTTAGGCCCCCCAAATCAAAATAAGAAATTTTTGCTCAAGTTGTCGTAGCTTGTATTATAAATAGAAGAGAAAAAATCTTAGCAATCCAAATAATTGAACTCATAAATCAAGATAAACAAGTGGACATATGAATAAATTTGCATAAATGAATTTTGTTATACTAGAAACACCAAGTAATCTCGTTGCAATGACATATTAGGGTGATTGTAGTCTTCTCTAGTTATGCAATAAACCCTTTTACTTAAAACTCTTAAAATTAGTATCGAGTTTTTCTTAGTTTTTTGTATTTTTGAAAATTAAGTGGCGACACTACACCTATCAAACATAGATATACATTTAGTTTTGTGATCGTCAAGAGATCACCATATGACAAAATGACGACTCCACTAGAAAATTAGGGGTTAAGCCTATGATGTTTCTTGTTTTTAGGAATTATTTTGTTCTTTGCATATCTTTTATCTTGATATACTTATGTCTATTTTATGCATTTTTCTTTGATGTTTATCTTTGGACTTGCTTATGAAGTATGGCCTTTTTGCACACACTAGCACTCACATAAAAAAATATGTTTTAGTCAGCACACATTTTGGGTTTTTAACCTAATAGTAGAAGAAGAGAGGTGGCATTAGAGGGATTACGACTCTAGAACTCGTACAACTTATCCCTCCACTCATATGAAAGAATTATTCTTATTTATGAGAATACGAAGGACAACCTAGTAACCCCATGCATGAGAATAGAGTTTCAAATATCTCGCTACTATAATTGAATTTGAGCCTACAATGGAAGCTTTGAAAAAAGTTAGGTTAGCCAACTTATCCAATCATATCTAGATAAGTCTTGAACACATAAATAGGCTCACCTTAGGACAAGAAAGCATACACTTTTTTTTTCCAGTTTAAAGAATAACCCTAACATTTTATTATGATACTTCGAAGCACTATGACTATCAAGGCTACTATTAATGATGATTGCTTATGATATGCGCAATGTTACCTCATATTGAGACAAACAAATGAAAACCGAAAACCGAATTGATCATTTTTCTTGGATCAAGATACCATGCCTATTGTTGGCATAGTTTGGAGTTACATGGCAATAATAGTAAGTAATATCTTCCTAATCCATCATGTTGTTGTCATTAAAGTCAAATTGATAGCTATGTTGCTCTTTTTTAATAAAAGCACGCTTTATATTCATGTCCAACCAAGAGTTAAAAATTCTCATGTGGAAATATTACATCTTCTCGAAATTTATAGTGTGCATCTTCGGGTTTACTATAGTAAAATGATAGAGGTTATACATGATGAAAATTTTCTAATTTATTTTTTTAAGAGAGTTTAGACGATGTTATCCTCGGGTAGTACATGTGGTTTAATAGAGCTAAAATTTGAAGATAGAAACATTTAGTAGATGCCTACATTCACCATTTCAAGTTCAACCTAGAGGTGGCCTCGAAACACTCGCAAAGCATGGAGAAGATAATGAAAGAGTCTATTTAAGGAGTATGCTCATATATGACAGGAAGTGGTCGCATAAATCTATCCACTTTTAACTAAAAAGGAACTAATCTCTATGTTCATCAATACTTTCAAGGTGTCATACTTTGAGTATCTTATCGGTAATTCATTATTTAATTTTGTCGATGTAGTAATCATTGTTGAAAGAGTTGAACAAGCTATCAAGTCAAAATATTTTAGAGGCTAGTTAAAAAAAACTTAACAATGAGAAAAACATTAAATTGCACTAGTTGAAGTCCACTAATTTCAAACTAAAAGGATGATAAAATAATCAATGGCTCTAAAACCATCTTTCTTGTTAGATATGAAACATTAATAATTAAGTCCAACCCTCATATAAGCCTTTTATGAATGTTGCTCATTTCGACATAGGCAATGTATTCACATCACTTCGAACTACCAACGAACCTTTTAGTTACTAGCCGAGGCCTTCTTATCAAAGTAATCCGATGCATCAAGACTCACTAATTTTTCTTTCTATATCTCTAGGTGAGTTGTTCATGTAACTTATGAGTATCAGTCAAATTATCCTTACCACTATAGATCTAGTTCAAGCAACTATATCCACCTTGGTTCGGATCCGATGAAAAATATGACTATCATGCAAATGTAGTGGGGCATAACATTGAAAATTGCATTGATTGTAAAAAAAAAGGTCAACTTTTTTTATTAAGCACATTTAGATCTATTTAGAAGAAAACTCGGACACACCTAATATTAGTACTAATCTACTATTGAACTATACGAGATGCTAACATAAAGGATATAAATAATGAATGAGTTTGATCAAGAATGTATGAAAGTCGACATAGGCCCAAACATTGCAAACAAAGTTTTTTCTTTTCTTAACATCATTTTTCTAAATATTTTATTTTCTTTAGTTTTATTAAACTAAATGACATATTTTAATGATATCAAATCTCTTTCTTACATAACTTTATTATTGAATTGGAATTTAGAAATATACATTTATAAGTATCATTTAACATTGTTATCCTCGAGGAGAAGAAATATGATGATAAATGTATTCCCTAAACATCTCTAAGATTTGTTAAATTCCTAAATATGTCATGCAATCACTAGAGAGGCAATTTTTTTTAAAAAAATAAAAACACATCTTCTTCACCCCAAACAATACCTTTGTAAAAAAAGTCTTGTCATAAAGGATTTGATGCTCTAAATGATGAAGAAATGCATATAAAAAGTCACAAACTCGACTTTGTCACTTCTTCTTTTCAAAACAAACAATATTCAAAATGGTTAGAACTTGTCGAATGAAAAAATTAGTTTTAAGATGAAAAAAGACCATCTTTAATATATCTTTCATGCATGTATAAAAATCCATTATGGTCCCCTTGATGATTTCTTATGATGACAACCCAAGGTTAGAATCACCCTTGCAATGGGGCAAAAATGTCATAAAGGTAAAAACATACGGTTTCTCAAATAGAAGGAGTCGAATAAAAATTTAACAAAATTTATTAACAATAAAGTCATAATTATGATCATCATGAAAGACTCATATTATATTTATTCTTATAAAAAAAGATAACAAAAATAGCTAATCACATCCAAATGTCAAATTCATCTCCTAAGTTATCTTTAATCTATCCAAAACTAAATCTGTTTAATATTTATCGTAAAGCACTACTATACACATAGAGTGTACTACTCCTAGCTAGTAGTAAGAACAACTTATCCTTAATAGCCTATAAGAAATTTCCTTGCGGCATTCTCTTAACTTCTCTCATAATGTGGCTAGAAAGTACGGTGACATTGAAAACCAAGAGATTTCAAACAAGGAAGAAGGTCTTGCCATGTTTATCGACCCTAATGCCGATGGCAAATTTGATTGTTGCACGTCACTTGTGGCCGTGACCATCATACAAAAGGTTAGATATATAGCCTATATTTGTTGAAAATATAGTCGATTTTCTCTTTGTGTATTCTTTTGTAAATAATTTTTCTTTCTTTATATATTTACATTAAAAAAATTGCTTCCTTATTTATTTTGTTTGTCCATATGGAGTTTATACCTCACCAAATATAAAATTGTTAAATTTCAAACATATGCGGGATCTCTTTCTATATATATAAAGATGGGTTCCCATTTATGTTGTTTCAACTTTTCACTTTGTTTTTTCCGGTAAGTTTGAATAGACTATTTAGTAATGTGTTTATTTGTTGTTAGATTATTTTTTAATAAAATATTATACTGATTATTATTAAATAATAATAATAATAAACTATTCAATGCATGGTTAATGAGGTATATTAAAATGTTATGGTTATAATAGCTATATTTATTTTAATAAATTAACAAACGGTTACATCATTTATAAAAGAAGTTTTTTTACCTTTTTTACAATAATTGCACTTAATGATTATAATTATTTCTTCCCAAACGGTTTTATTCCTATGGCCTATACATAGGACCTTTCCCTTATGTTATGTATGCTAGATATATATATATATATATAGCAACATTCATATTCTCTTGTTTAGAGAAAAGATCAGCATTCTTTTAGAAAGAAAAATATTTCTTTCAATTTTCTTGTTTACCAATCTCTCACCGTAAAGCCATATAATCCTTTTGTTTTATCTTTGAGTAAGAGTGGTTGTAATATATTTAGAGTTTCAAATCTTACAAATAGTATAAATTTATTAATAGGTTTTCTTGTTCTTATACTTGTTTCTTGGTTGGGTCTATTCTGTGATTCTCTCTCTATATATTTTGTATGGGTTGGGATTAATAGGGGGAAGGAATGAATGAATGGATGAGCCAGGTTACGTCTAGCTTAGACATATGTTAAATGATAGTTGTAGTAGTTTAGGCAATGCTTAGAAGTTAAGAATCTTCAATGTCTATCTAGTGGAGCTGATTTTACGAAGTATTAATGTGTTAATTTCTGAAGTTAACGTGATTATGAGATGATTAGTGTGTGAATTTAGCTGAAATGAAGTGGGGGTATGATTGTTGTTCTCTATAATTTAATGAACTAATTAACCATTAGTAAATGTATTTTTGCTTTTTTATTTATGTTCGACTAAATGAGACTAACCATTCCTAAACTTCAACTCATTTAATATTAAGTCTCGGAACTTCAAAATTAATTTTGAAAATTTTTAAATTTTTAACTTTTTGAGATCTAATCCATCAGTTAGTTTTTCATAAAAAATAATAGAAACCCAATAAAACAAAAAATCCAGAATTGAAATCCTTTGCATTAAGAAATACCCACCTCCTCCTTCTTTCTCTCCTTCCATACTAATTTTGAATATAAAAGATTTTAGTTCTAGATTTTTTTTTCTTGAATTTTTCATTATTATTATTTTTTTTTAAAACTAACGGATATATTAAATTTTAAAAAGTTTAGAGTTGAAATTTAGCAACTCAATTTTAAATGAGTTAAAATTCAAAAGTGATAAGACGTTTTAGCCTTTATATCCACCAAATCAAGTCCCATTGCAGATAAGATGGTAAAAATCATCTCAAGTTGGCTGCAGCCGTCTAGCTAGCTATACCCATTATTGTCTCTCTACTGAATTCTTTCAAAAAATGATACTTTTTCTTGAGTTTCGCAAGGTTGACAGGTCTAAGCAGGATTCTGCTTCCAAATACTGCTGTTTATAGACAAATTGATCCAAAATGTGACGTTTAATTAATTACAAATATGGTGTGAGTTACAGATGCTCTAAATTACTTCCACCACTGCGAGTATTAATGTCCCAAAGAGGAAATTACAGTGTCCATCGTCCATCCCTCTTGAAAATGATGATTTGCTGACAACCTTCAAGGAGAGGAGAGGGAGTGAGTTGGACAAAGCTTATTGGGCCATGGGTTTTAATATTGGGATAATTAGTGAGGCCCAATGTGGGTAAACTTTCTATCCTAGCAGCTCGCATTAGTCCACAAGAAAAAAAGCAATGCAAGAATCTGAACGTCTTGAAATTCAGGTTGCTAGGTTTTACGGTTAGATAGATCTAATCATCATATTCTGAACTTTAAATTATTTAAGATTGATTTTTAAAAATTTTTTTATTAGTTTCGAACATCTTTAAATTTTAAATTTTTTAGATTTAGGCAATTTTTTAATTTTTTGTCACTTATCTCAAAAAGTAATAATTATATAATAAGTTTATGTCGAAAATCATTCAATTAGATTTATATAATTTTTTTTTAAAAAAATTTAAGATTATTTCAAAGTACTTTTATTTTTCTTAACTGTTTTATATTTTAATTTTTTAAAAATAAACAAATATAGTTTTCAATTTTAAAAAATTCTGGGCTTTTTTTATAGAATGGATTAAACTTTTTTCAAGGTTTATGTAAAATTTCAATTCAAAATATCAAGAATTGAATATTTATAGAGGAGAAAATAATAGGTAAAAATTATTAAATGAACTAAATCTCAAAAAATTAAAAGTTGAGATCTTTAAAATTATTAAAAAGTTTAGAAAATCAACCTAAAATGACTTAAAAATCAGGGTAATTTTATTTGTTATTGGGAAGATTAAAAAATTGCAAGAAAGCAGCAGAGAATGTCTGAAGGATCAGCAAAGGCACTGGTAAAAAGCAAAGGAGAGGGCCGAAATTGGAAAATTACATAAATCGCCTTTCGTTTTGCTGCCAAAAGAATAGTTCTTCCGTTCTTCCCACCCCCATCCCTTGTGGAGGATGAAGCTTCATGGAGGACTTCGATAAAAAGAGTTATGTCAAAAAAAAAAAAATTTTTTTTTTAAACAAAATAATATTAAATTATCTACAGTAAAAAGGATTAATTAATTTATTTTGTAAAACTAGAAGGACTAATTTATAATTTACTCGAAAAAAGGAGACAAGAAACTTCAAAGAAGTTAAAAACCTGTAATTGGTAATCAATCTTCTCTTCCTTGCTTCAGACCAGAGAACCAAAGTCAACGATCCAGTGACCAAATGGACTTCCAAAGAGACACGTCGTTGCCACCAGAGAAGGAGCCATTTAGTGATGATTGGGCAGACACCATCAACAAGGTAGTCCCTGCGGTGGTGGTTTTGCAAACAACTACGTGTCGTGCATTTGATACTGAGCTTCCTTCTTCTGCCTCTGCCACTGGGTTTGTTGTTGACAAGGGACGTGGTATTATACTTACTAACCGACATGTCGTCAGCCCTGGTACCTTTGCTAACCATTTTTCTTTTTGTCGAGATTATGATTTCTGCTTCTAATTATTATTTTTAAATTAATTTGTTTTTGAACTATGTTTAATTGTCTGGTTTTGGTTAATTTTTTTCGGTTTTCTAGGCCCTGTTAATGCCCAAGCTATATTTACAAGCAATGAAGAAATTCCAGTGCGTCCAATATACAAAGATCCGGTGAGTTTTACATTTTTTTTAATACAAGAATTAAGGTTTCATTTGCATAAACTAAGGATAGCAAATTGGGTTCAATATATTTGTGTAATAATACTCTCTCCATTACAAAATAATATTTTTTTTTGTAACATGATAAACAATAGTTATGTCTATTTATTAAGAGTAATGTTAATCTTATATAATTATTTTACAGAATTTACTTGCTGAAAAATAGAAAAAAAATTAAATAATATGAAAAGATTGATGGAAAAAAAGATGATTTTTTAACTCCTAAAGTTCTTACCTAATTTAATTTGAAAGTTCAAATTTTTATTTTTATGCAATTAGATACCTAATTTCATGCAATTAGGTCTATTCTCTGAATAAGATTGAACTAAACATGATCATCACTGAATAATGAACTATTAAATTAGTTCTTGAAACTAGAATGACTACTTAATTTGTTTCGTAAAATTATTCAAGCTAATTTATAATTTACTCGTATATGGATCAAGATGCATATAACAATGCATGGTCATCCTAATGAATCGTATGAAATAGATAACCTAAAAGTTGGATAATATTACAACTTCTGTCATTTGTCTATTAGTGTAAAATTCCTTAACTTTTTTTTAGGTTTCATGTAGTTTTTTCAGCCGTATACAGTACAAGATCCATTGGACCTTACTGGTGAAATACTTCTTTTGCACTGGTTTTTTCTTTGTATTAGGTCCATGATTTTGGGTTCTTTTCATATGACCCTGGTGCCATAAAATTTCTGAATTATGAGGAGATTCCACTTGCCCCTGAGGCTGTTTCTGTTGGACTGGAAATCAAAGTTATTGGAAATGATAGTTCTGAGAAGGTATTTACTACAACACATTTGAAGTTCCTCTATTCTGCTTGAGTGCTTTGTTACTTTGTGAAGCAAAACTTGTAAGGGAGTTTGCATTTTCAGTTGGCTATTTTGTCTGAGTCTTGGCACTTTTTTTTCTTTTTTTTGAGACAATGAATCGTTAGTTCTAGGCTTCTTTGTTTTGTTGATGAACTCCAATGTTTGCAGGTTTCTATTTTGTCTGGCATCCTTGCTCGTTTGGATCGAAATGCTCCTACTTATCAAAAGTAAGGTAATTTTATCCTCTTGGATTCTAGTTATTAACATTATACATTTATACATACATGAATGATATTGTCATCCCATTGTTTTCCTAACAAATCCTAACTGTCCAATTTGCTTATTTTGTCAAGTAACATTATACATTTATACATACATGAATGATTTTGTCATCCCATTGTTTTCCTAACAAATCCTAACTGTCCAATTTGCTTATTTTCTCAAGTTTTGATTTTGAGCCAACCAATCTTTATCATTTTTCTGCAGGTAGGGCTTGCTCCCCTAACATTGTAACTCTGTTTCTCCGTAATTGTGGGGTCAACTTTTCTTGGCAGTACTGTACATGCAACACTCACAATCTACAAAATGCATACATCTGAACATTTATGGGAAAAGGGTCATATTCAAACACAATCATAGGCATAGCTCCAGAGTTTGAACGAAATAAATGAGTTGGACCATTGAAGTTGTCTCATACGATGGTTTTATACAGCGATTTTAGAGCTAAAGTTTCTAGCATTAGGTTATTGCAGCTTTTATTTGGCTTGTTTTACACCTGGAACTATAAATGAGTAAAATGCAAATCACAGTATTGTTGGTTTGTGATAATGTGGAATAGTTCTCTCTGCTGTTCTTCAGCCCTCAGTCACTTTCTTAACATCGATTGTTATTTGGTGCAGAGATGGTTATAATGACTTCAATACCTTTTACATACAAGTAAGTAGTTTATTCATTTACTCTACTAACTGAAGGCCTAATTATGTATGTTGCTTGAATCAATTTTCAATTCAGAATCTGTAATATTACGAGGGACCTATGTCCAGCACTCTATCTTATAAGCGTGAGATTTATACCGTCAATTGCTTCTTTATGTGCAAGCAGGATGCTATAACTATAAATAATTTCTGCAAAACGAGTGTGAAATATGCTGCTCTTCATGTTTCTTTCGCTTCATTTTCAGGCAGCATCTGGAACTAAGCCTGGCTCTAGTGGTTCCCCCATAATCGACAAGCAAGGTCGGGCAGTGGCCTTGAATGCTGGGAGCAATTCATCAAGTTTGTCAGCCTTCTATTTACCTTTAGAGAGAGTGAGTGTTGCTATATCTAGGTGGCTATTAATTTTCTTGTGGTTAAGGAGTTATCGAATACAGACCACAATTGTCGCAGTAAGATAGTAAGAGCTCTATGTTTTTGGCTTGTAATAACAAGTTATTTAGAAACAGAACTAGGGGTGCGTAATTTACCCATTCAACATCCCCTCGGACATTTGACGTTGAATAATGTGAATAATTCTCATTCCTCAACAAAACCCTTATGTGAAATCAACTCTGAAATCTTAGCTTCTTAACTATTCACTGCATATAAGCCTTTAATCTTAGTTAAGCACTAGCTTTTGAACAAAATTGTACATTTCTTGGGAACTGATACATATAGTTACTTAATTTGCAGGTTGTTAGGGCATTGAGACTTCTTCAAAAGTGCACAGATGCTTATTCAAATAAATGGGAGACAGTTTCTATACCTCGTGGTACACTTCAGGTTTGTTGTTGACATCACTTCCAAAGTTGCTGATATTGGTGGTCCTTATAACAGACTGGAAGAATGGAGTTTTTCTGCACATGTTTAAATGGGAGAAATCCAAAACTAATATTTAGCTTTGAAGTTTTAATGTTCAAGCACTCATCTTATTGTTGTTTTTCACTGTTCTGTCTGAATTCTTCAAAGTTGACCAAGTGCTAATATGGCCAAGTTTTGCTAAATGCCGATAAGTAAGCATGAGTGATAAAACAATCTTAAAAGTAGTTTTCAATTGTGGCTTCCTCAAAATGATATAGTTCATTGAGATGGATCACTCCCATATTCTTGGTATTATCAATATCGATGTTTTACTTGTCTTATTTTTGTGTTGGGTTACAATGTCCAAGGTTCTTTTTTTCCCTTATGATTCAGCATAATTGTACTGATTTATGATACAGGTAACATTTCGCCATACAGGATTTGGTGAGATATGCCGACTTGGTCTTCAAAGTGAAACAGAGCAGGTATTTCTTTCTCATTAATAATTGCTTGGAATATTGATGAGTGTCTCATTCTGCTATCAACTTTTTAGAGGGTACGGCATGCATCTCTACTAGGTGAAACTGGAATGCTTGTTGTTGACTCTGTGGTGAGCATATACTTTTGTGTTTTGAGATTCTAAATTGTCAATGAAGAATTGCTCTAGCAACTCTTGCTTACATTCATTGCTTCTATGATCATGGACTTCTACAGGTGCCAGGTGGTCCAGCTTATAACCAACTGGAGCCGGGGGATGTGCTTGTTTGCGTGAATGGGGAAGTAAGTTTTTCCTTTATTCACACGACACTTTTGAATCTTGGTTATTCAATGAGTAATCTTAATCCATGTATGTGAATGCTGCACCTTTGATAGAGCTTGATGTTGGAAATTAAAGGACCAGTTTTTAAAGATTCAGATCCTCTTTCTTTCTCTTCTTCTTTTTTTTTTTTGTTTTTTTTTTTTTATTTTTTAATATGTCCTCGTCTTGCCTTCTGTGGACATTTTGGCTCTATTTTTGGGGCTCTTTTTCTTTGTTTTTTTTTTTTTCTCCCTTTACTGGACCGGTTTGTGCATGGATCAGATTTCTGTCCCAAAAAGACCTTGTTAACAGTACGAGACTGCATTTATTATGCATGGGGCTATAGTAAATAGTAATCTCAAAATAATGGCGTAAAATGTTTCTCAATGGTTCTAATTTTGTGAAAGTTATCTCAAAAGAACTTGCTGTGGAGATTGAAGTGTATGAGATTTTATGTACTTTGAATTGCCTGTGTATTTGTTCTCATTAGTTCCAGAGTGAATTAATTTGTACGATTTAAAAGGTACTTTGTCCGATTTTTCTATCTGTCATGTGTCAAAGATTTGGAATTTGATAGAGAATATATCCATGTTTCATTCCAAACCAACAATCTTCTGTTTATTTTCATATCACATAGAGTTTGAAATGAGGCTGTTTTGATGAATTTCTCTGTTGTAGGTAACTACTCAATTTTTGAATTTGGAGACATTACTAGATGACAATGTTGACCAAAAGATTGGGTTACAGATAGAAAGGGGTGGCATATCATTGAATGTTAATTTAACGGTAAGTTTAACACTAACTTAATAATCATCTAAACTTTTTTGGTGCCTCTAATTTCGTTAGAGAAAATGCTTTGAATAGCTTCTTTTAGTATGAATTTCATATTATCTTGATTGGACTCAGTTCCAATGTCAAACAAATTGCTTTCATGTTTATGTGTTTCTGTTGTTTGGTCATCAGTGCCATATCTTGTATCTGTATTCTGCTACATTGTTTAATATCTAAATCTATCTTGGTGTAATTATTTGGTCACATTCCTCTCCAAGATCACTTGTGTTCCCCTTGATTTAGCTTCTTACAGAGCAGTACCCATCATGTTTCCATGTCTTTTACTTCAGGTTCAGGATTTACACTCAATAACTCCTAATCATTTCTTAGAAGTAAGTGGTGCAGTGATACATCCATTATCATATCAACAGGTAGGCTGGATTAAATCATTTATTCAGAAAGCATTACGTGGAAGTTCTTGAAAGTGCTGCTTATATACTCTGCTTGATCTGCATAATTCTGCTCGTCACTGTGAACATCTTGACATGTGCAACTTTTGTTTGAAACAGGCCAGAAACTTTGGCTTCCAATGTGGCCTTGTATGTGTTGCAGAACCTGGGTCAGTTTATCCAAATCTTTTCACAATTTTAATTTGACTTCTCATGCATTTAGTTGATTACCTGAATGGAAGTGATAGAAAATTTTAGGCTATATTGCGTAGAATCAGTTGTCTTTTATAATAAAGCAGGACTTTTCTAAGACGAAGCTCAGTAGTTTGAAATGCCTTATCTGAATGCACATAACATTTTTTTTTAATGTAATCTATATTTTTCTTAGCAAGCTTTTTCTTTCATGTAAGTACCCCAATTGGTTTTGGTGATTAAAACAATTTAAATTGTGCGGATTCTATAATATTTCCTGAAATATCTGCTCGTTGGATGTGAGACTAAAAGAGAAGAAAAATTGGGAGAGGAAATACGGATGGAGACTTCAGTTCAAGTTCCTTGTCAGGACATCATTAAGAAGTTTGGTGATGTTGAGATATAACTGTTATGATCTACAGGTATATGTTCCACAGAGCTGGAGTTCCTTGCAATGCCATCATTAAGAAGTTTGCTGGTGTTGAGATATTACAACTCGAAGGACTAATCTCAGTTTTCTCTAAGCTATCTAAGGGTGCACGAGTGCCATTGGAGTACATAAGGCATGATGATCGTTATCGAACAAAGGTATGCTAATGCTATACATGAGCTTCTATGGAAAATGTTACCTATTGGATATGTTGTTATGCACTGCATTTTTGTTTTTGTTCGAGGTTTCAGATATCTGATCTTCCGTGTATGAACACTTGCTCATGGTACAATGTTACATGAACAGAACACTACAGATTAACTCTTCTTTACGTTGCATAAATCAATGAATTATTGAATGTGAACATTGAGTGCCTCAGGAAGTGAGAATTCTAAGTTTTAGGATAGAAATTTGGATGATGATCTCTGTGCGCGTGCATGCGTGTGTGCAAGCCTGTGCACATGTGTTTAGGTGTGTCTTCATGCATTAATGTGCCATTTAATTCTGAAAAAAATGTTTAGGATAGTGGTGATCTCTTTCTGTGTGCGTGAGTGCTTGCGTGTGTGCAAGCCTTTGCATGTGAGTTTAGGTGTGTCTTCATGTATTAATGTGCCCTTTTAGTCTGACAATTATTTTTAGGATATTGGTGTATTTTTATTGACTTGTGATGACTGCAGTCTGTGATAGTCTGTATTGATCGCCATGAATGGTATGGTGCTCCAAAGGTATACACCCGGGATGTTAGTTCTGGTTTATGGACAGCGAGTTCTGCTATTCAACCTAGGTTCCTGCAGCTGTCATCTTGCAGTAGTGATGTTGAACAAGGTCCAAAAGTTGAATCATTTTCATTATCTAGTGAATCTACTGTGGTGAAAGTTATGCATCAATCTAACGAACAGGAGTTGGCAAATGGTGTTGTGAGGAGAGAAGCTAGTAATGGACATATTTCTATGGAAGCCCATTCTGAGGAAGAATATGATGCTAAGACTGAGTGCCGAGCACAGGGGCATTTATCTTCTAAGGAAATTGTAGCTGCCAACTGTTCTACTCGTGAAATTGGAGAAATTAAATTGAAGGACCCAAGTACCACAGAAAAATCAGTTTTAAAGGGATTTGAGGCTGCTACTTCAGCTGCTTCATTGGTAGAAAGTGTCATAGAGGCAGCTCTTGTTATGCTTGAGGTAATATCTAACAAGTTTTATCTGGCAATTGTCTTGAATCAGTAGCTGGCTTTCACTTAAATGCTTTGACTTCTAGTAAACTATACTGAAACCTCTGTATTCATTCCTGATGTAGCTTTATGATTTTTTCCCCCCTGGAAGAAAAAACTTCTGCCAATTGACTGGTATTTATCAATGGAAGGCATGTTATTTGAAATGAGTATGCTTCTCTTCGTAGAGAGTTCATCCTTCTTGTTAGCAATTTTCTTATTTAAGAGAACCAGATACCAGATAAAGCTCAACTTGATACAGATGTTTGAAAATAGACCCTTATTTTTCAAACAACTAGAAATCAACTCCCTCTTATTTTTTAATAAACTTATTGTTCATGTTGGAGTGAACTGTGAGCCATGTTATTCTACACCTTGCTATGAATAGTATGACCTTAATTTCAGTGGAATTTTCAACTAGCTGTCTTAGCAATGACATCAACCCAAAAAGAGCACAGTGCCATACGCAATCTAGCTTTCGTGAAGCTCATATTCCACTTTTTATCTGATATTAGGTGCTACTGTATTGGCTTTTTGGGTCATTCTTCTCCAGCCTTGTTATAATGCTTTTTTCCCCCTCAAATTGTTGTGGCTTTTCTTGCAATCGATGTTGAATATGTAGAATTTTTCTCCATAACTGTTTATTCTAAAATCTTGCATTAGCATTGTGTCTTAGTGCTTTTTAAGACAGTGCTACCGATCTTAGTTCTCTGTTAAACCTATCTCATATGTGAAATAAATAGATCTTTATACTTTCAGATTGATGTGCCGCGATCGTGCTTGCTTGATGGTGTCAATTCAGTGGAGTCTTCTGGGACTGGTGTCATCGTTCATCATTCTCAAGGCATGGGGTTGGTTGCAATTGACAAGAACACAGTTGAAATATTTGCATGTGATGTGATGCTATCATTTGCTGCATTTCCTATTCAAATTCCTGGGGAGGTAAAATTTTGAGAAGTAGCGATGTTGGAATAATTTTCGGTTCCTTTATTTACTGCCTAAACTCCTTTGCAGGTTGTGTTTGTTCATCCTACTTACAACTTTGCTCTAGTTGCTTATGACCCCGCTGCTCTTGGAGCTGGTGGTGCTTCAATGGTTCATGCTGCTGAACTACTTCCTGGTGCGTTGGATTATGTATTTATTCTCACGTGCTAAAATATGATAAAGTCTTTTAAAAATTTTTTTTTCTTTTAAATAAGTTTTTTAGCTTTTAAATTCCAAACTGCTATTTTGTTTAGTTGAAAAAAGCGATCTCCACATTTCAGATTTATAGTGAAATTTCTTTTCTGATAAATAGATTCTTTACTTGCACAAAATATATGGTTATTAAGTTTTATGCTTCCTGTTTGCTATTTAGTGCAAAAAAGAGATTACAGAGTAGATACAATAGGACTATAGCTAAGCAAGAAAGCCTTCCTGCCTATCCACTCCTTGTTTAGCCAAACTAAGAGCAACCATATTACCATCTCTGTTAATTCTACTAAAACTAATTGACTTCAAATTACGAATACAAGAATCAATGCTCATAAACACATTATGCATTTTCCATGGCCTCTCATTAGCATTTTGATGAACCCAAAGCATTGCATTTGCTGAATTTTCTATGATCCAGCTCATCATATGAGAAAGATGATTGGATGAACTTATCTCCAAGGCTTTATTGATAGCTAGAACCTCGCCTCATTGGAATCCTTAATGCCAGTTGGAAATGAGAAGATACATAAGAACTTTCTTTCATGATCCCTGAGTACCCCACCAATACCAGAACTACCTGGTTTCCCAAAGAAGAACCATCCACATTCCATTTCAAATTCCCAATTCTCGGCTTTTCCCATGTAGATGGCTGGCGAATAGTGAATTGGTTAGTCCATCGCTGAATTCCTTCTGAGCTTCTTGCTAAATCATTTCCAAACTAAGCAAAACAATCATCAACAAACTTTGCCCAACATGCAACTCTATGAAGGGAGGGAGGAGGAAAGATGAGGGTTTTTCAAGAGCTGGTAAAAAGAAAAGCAGAGCGAAAATTCTAGCTTTTTGAGCTTTGCTCGGAATAAAGAAACTCAAATTCATTGCCATTTCAATAAAATTTTGGCTTGAGCTTAGCTCGGTGAGTTTGCTTCCCAGGCAAAACTCAAGTTGAACTCATTTGAGTTATCGAAAGAAGCAAGTTCAACATTGAAAATCATACAACCACCAAATAATTGTTAGTTGTTACCACTGACTATTATGTGCAGTTACTAGGAAAATTTAAATACACAAATAAAAACTGCTGGCTAGCTAGCTTACAGAATCACATCCAAAAATAACCTACCTTGGTCAGTTAATTTGATTAAGCTTACCTGATAACTCCTTTCATTTCAGTGTTATTTGCCTAATTTGTTGCTTTTGTCTGTGTGAGGTCTTTTTCCAGTTTTTGCACTGCAAGTAATGTAATTGTGATATTATATATATATCCAAGCCGGTCACTGTAAGGATTATGGTTTTACTTTTTGAGACAGAACCTGCATTATGTCAGGGAGATTCAGTGTATCTTGTTGGATTGAGTAATAATCTACGAGCACAGTCCAGGAAATCCATTGTAACAAACCCATATGTTGCGTTGAATGTTCACCAAGTTGATCGTCCACGGTATGGAGCAACAAATATGGAAGTGATTGAACTTGATTCTGGTAAGAGAATAGATCTTAATTTCACAAGTTCTTTTTTATATTGGTTTCAAATGTCTTATTTTATTTGGTATTTCAGATTTTGGCTGTGAATTTACTGGTGTGCTGTGTGATGAGTGTGGAAAGGTTCAGGCCCTGTGGGGGAGCTTTTCAAAGAAGGTTCCACTATTAATTTGCTTCTCGTGTGTTGTTTTGTTATGGTAGCAATTACAACAAATGAACCTCCATTTTCAACTAAAATCTGATGGAATTACATCACAGGATTATCAAATTGTTCGAGGTATCCCGATATATATGATCAGCCAAATAGTTGACAGTATTATATGTGGTGCAAATGGGCCATCTCTTCTCATAAATGGTGTCAAAAGGAAAATGCCACTTATTAGGACTTTGGAGGTTTCACTTTATCCCATATTGCTTTCAGAGGCCCGAAATTTTGGTCTCAGTGATGATTGGATCCAAGTATGCCTTCTTCCTTGTACAATATTTGTAATTTTCCTATTTTTGCTTGTGTTCTGTGAATGCATATTTTCCATAGGCCCTGGAATGCTGGATGCATGTAAACAAAAATCTAAAACAGTCTGTAATTTTTTTTCTGTTGTATGCTTTTCAAATAATTAACATTTCCAAAGAAGAGCGTTTCAATAACTGCCATGATTACTGGACTACTAAAACCTTGATTTGTAAAGAGAGAGCATTTTCCAGAAGTCTTAAATAATTGAATAATGTTTCTGTGTAACTATTAATCCATGACCATTAATTGGCTTTCATTTGCTGGATAACTGCAGCGCTCTTGAACTTAACATGCCTTTGCAGCAAAATTTTGTACGGCAAGGGTCTTTGATTATTCTGAATAGCAACTATTGACTATTGTTTACTGTAGGTGCTTGGTGAGAAAGATCCAATTAGACGACAAGTTTTACGCAATGAAGGTTGTTTTGCTGGATCTAAAGCTGAAAATTTATTAAAACAAAATGACATGTTGTTGGCAGTAAACAAAGAGCCAGTTACTTGCTTCCGTGACATAGAAAATGCTTGTCAAGCATTAGAGAAGTGTGGTGACAGTGATGGGAAGCTTAAAATAACCATCTTTCGCCAGGTAAGCATGCATAATGATTGTGTGGATTGAGAAAGAAGTACTTTAATTTGCTTGCTAGATATGCACATATCTTCTAATGTGTTTTTAATGTGAGAATAATTTGTTTGATACTGTTTTTTGTGCGGCTTGCTAGGGATGTGAAGTTGATCTTCTTGTTAGAACAAATGTTAGGGATGGAACTGGAACCACACGTGCAATAAGTTGGTGTGGGTGCCTTGTTCAGGATTCTCATCCAGCAGTGCGTGCTCGTGGATTTCTTCCAGAAGAAGGTTATGGAGCATATGTGGCAAAGTAAGCGTTTGCTTTTTGTTTCAGAATAGCAGCCTAACAGTGCTAGAAACTACCTCTGGGATTTCCTTTATTTTAATTCAAAAATGCATTATATGATCACACAGATTTTGATTGTTAGATTTTTGAAGCTGAACTGTGTGAACGGATAAATTATTGCATCATATATACATGGCTTTCGTTCAACAAGCACAATCCTACCAGAATTGAGGAAATGTTTTTGTCGATGCATATCTTCTCTTAAATGATAATTATTTATAATTTTGTTAGGTGGTCCTATGGAAGCCCTGCACATAGATATCGTCTATCTGCTGTTACATGGATTGCTCAAGTCAATGGAAAACCAACTTCTGATTTAGATGCCTTTGTTAATGTGGTAAAGGTATGGATATAGTCCTTTCAGTCTGAAAACTCTCTCTCTCTATTATTAGTTACTTATCAGAATAGCTCAGAAATATGTGAGGAGTATTACAATAATATGAATGAGTATGATTTCTGGTTTTTTTGGATGATGTTGCATGCATTTTCATTCCTGAAAGTATGCTTTATAATATTTTTATCAGGAATTAGGACCCGATGAGTGTGTACGTGTAAAGACCATTGACCTGGATGGGAAGCCACAAGTGCGAACCCTGAAGCAGGATTTGCACTATTGGCCTACGTGGGAGTTGAGATTTGATCCAGACACCGCAATGTGGCGCAGGGAGACGATTAAAGCATTAGATTGCAGTAATGGATGAACAGACTGTTCTATTCTCGCTCTAATTCATTCTTTCATGGGATGATATTGCACAATATCATGCTCAGACACCTCTCCTTTGATAGTCTGGTTAGAATTTGTGGTCTTCAATCAAACTAAATATATGTAAGAGAGAGAGAGGGACGCATATTACTCTTGAGCTCATATGGTCGGTGTTTGCTCCCCGTCTTATCATTTTGATTTTCAAGTGGAGGGGAATTGTGGGAAAAATATTGACTTATTTTGCTTTAATGGCTTCCTTTATTGTGAGGAAGATTCAAAGATGTAAGGATCTTGCTATTTAATTGAACAATTAATGCTAAAGAATTGCATAGTGGTAATGTAATGTAAATCTAGCCCGCCCTTTGGTGACAAGTGCTTTGGTTTTCAAGGAGTAATGTAACAGTACCCTTCAGTTTTTAGATCTTTTCTTTTTGTCTAGTAGTGTTGGCTTTCACTTCCTTTCAATGCACCTCAATATCGACATGTAATTGTAATATGGTCGAATTAGAGGATGAACTCGACATTCGAGTAATAATGAGAGGCTTGTGATCGAGTCCGTATATTCTCCTCCTTGTACTTGTCTCCTTCTCTAATAACCCTCTTATATATCTTGTTCATGATGATGTCGAACATTGAAGTAGCATTCGTCTCTCGGCTAGTAACCTCTTCTTCAAATATTTTATTAATGGTATCCTATATAATTGCATAATTTTTAATGTTAAATAGTAATTTCAATAAGTATATAAAAGAGGCATATATATGAAATAAGTTAATAAATTACTTATCTTGATATTTTTTGTCCGTTGATTGATGAATACGTTATTTATCATCATTCTTTTATTTTTTTCATGAGTATTTAAAAACACCTTGTGTGCATTGGGTACACAACCCAATTCCTTACACTCGAAACAAATATACTTAAATTTATATTAAGGTTGTAATAATTGCAAATAATAAATTATATATATGGATCGATGAGAATCCAATGCCTCGAAAATCTAAAGGTTTCTACGTAAGTTCATCCATGAAGGGTGGGTCAAGGCCTAAGATTAAGCCGAAAGACAGCTTGATGGACAATAGACGAATATTTCTATACTACTCCTCGTTGGTCCCAAGGGACGAGAGGAGGTTCCGTTAGTCGAAAGATGGTTATCGGCTCAAGGATGCATGGTATCTTTGTTTTTCTAGAGTAAAAAAGGGTAGAGAAAATGACTCAAGCCAATGTTCGAGTACTAGGCCCTATGGTGCTAAAGTAACCCATGCCATGATCTTAGGAAAAGGTCAAATGACCTTTAACAAAAAGGTACCTAATAAAAAATATGTTGATACGCTGCTGTCAATATGAATGTAAATGTGTTAATAAAAAAATACACAATGAAAAAAACAAAAAAATTAATTCAAATTATCCCAATATTTTATTGATATATTATCATATAAATATTTTTTTGATTTCCAATATTAATATTAGCAAACCAATAAGATAAGATGAAAAAATAAGTAGTTCTCTTTGAATCTTCATTTTCAAGTGACTTGATAGCATCGAGTGTTCAATCCCACACATCTTCAAGTACCAAGGACTCATAAAAAATCATTAAAAAATATTATTAAAAAATAGCCTATCTCAATATCATTATTTGAATAACCTTTTATAGTAAGGACTCCATTTTATGAATTCCATTCTTCTGAAATTTCAAATATTTTAAGGATTTATCATGTATATTACGTGTTTTCCGCATGTGATTGAACCCCTCATATGTCTAGATGGGTCAACCCGGATGCTACTAATCTCACTTATGCGGTTTCGGACCGCATGCTCAAATCGAGATTAAGACTCGGGTTTTGTCAATTCCTTCGCCACGCATCTCATATCTTTTGTGAGATATAAGTTGGCTTGGGGTGTGTCTTCACATGATAAAGGAAGTTGGAATATCGTTTTTATGTCGGATTCTACCATGCTTTCCTAATGCTTTGATGGAACTCATAAATTTTCATCATGTGAAGACCAAAATAAATAAATTTAACACTTAAAAGGTTTTTTAAATAACAAATTAATTGATTTTAACACATAAATAACTTAACTAACACCAAATTAATTAAACTAAAACGTAATTAAATTAATTAATTAATTAAAATTTTTAAAGAAATTAATTAATTTAATTAAGAACTAATTAACTTATTTTAACAACTAAATAACTTAATTTAAAACTAATTAAATAAACTTAATAACTTATTAAATATTTTAAAATTTTAATTAATTTAATTAACAACTAACTAAATTTTTTTGACAACTAAATAACTTAATTAACAACTAATTAATTAAAATTACACCTAATTAAATTTTTTTAAAATTTAATAACTATTTAAAAGCTAAATAACTTAATTCAACAACTAAATAACTTAATTAACAACTAATTAATTAAATTAACATCTAATTAAATTTTTTAAATATTTAATTAATTTAATTCACAACTAACTAACTTATTTTAACAACTAAAAAACTTAAGTAACAACTAATTAATTAAACTTAACACCTTATTAAATATTTTATTAATTTAATTAACAACTAATTAATTTTTTTAACCACTAAACAACTTAATTAACAACTAATTATATAAACTAACACCTAATTAATTTTTTTTAAATTTAATAATTTAATAACAACTAAATAGCTTAATTTAACAACTAAATAACTTAATTAACAACTAATTAATTAAATTAAAATCTAATTAAAATTTTAAAACATTTAATTTATTTAATTAACAACTAATTAACTTATTTTAATAACTAAAAAACTTAAGTAATAACTAATTAATTAAACTTATATAGTGATAATCTTTGATGCCGGTAGTTTAATAGCACGCATTGTAAAGAAATTGATTCTTCTAATGTAATGTCCAAAAGTATGTTAAATGGAGATTTTTTATTTTTTTTGAGAATTTTTAAATTTATATAGTGATAATCTTTGCTGCTGATCGTTTAATAGCACGCATTGTAAAGACATTGATTCTTCTAATTTAATGTCCAAAAGAATGTTGAATGGAAATTAACTCAAATGAGATCATCACAGGATGTAATAAACATAGGGATTAAAAACGAGTGTGAAGAGAGGACTACGAAGGATAGGCAAAGTCTTGATTGATTATTTGGAGAGCCAGTAACAGTTCTACAGCATTCCATGCTATAGCGATTTTTATTTTTTTAGAAGAAAATCAATTAGATTATAAAGATAGCCATTTAGTCGATGGGAAAAAAAAAAAGATTACTAAATAAAAACAAAATGAATATAGACAAACAAGATAGCATGCATTTCTGTCTATCGATGTACTCCTTGCTTAATCAAATTATCATCAACTATATTATTGTTTTTATTAATTATGCTAAAACTAATTGACTTTAGATATTTACAAATACAAGAATCAATGCTCATAAAAACATTATATATTTTCCATAACCTCTCATTAGCATTTTGATGAATCCAAAACATTGCGTTCGTTGAATCAATTTCCATATATGATCTAGTTGATCATCTCGTGAGAAAGGTGATAGGGTGATTTTATCTCTAAATTGTTATTAATAGCTAGAAAATTAGTCCCATTAGAATCTTTAATACCAATTGGAAACGATCAGATACATAAATTTTCTTTTTCATGATCTCTAAGTATCTCATCAATACCACAACAACCTGGTTTTTCCAAAGAAAGACCATCCACGTTCCATTTTAAACACCCAATTCTCAGCGTTTTTCATGTAGTTAGCTGACGATTAGTGAATCGATTAGTCCATCACTGAATGACTAGCTATAGCTATTATAAACCATATATTGTATAGATTGATCAGTGCCTGTCAAGTACTCCAACTGGGAATTGGCTGTTAGCTCTATAAGTTCATAAATGAAGCTGAGATCCCCTTCTCCCAATCTATGGCAGCATGGTTACCGCTTTCCATACTTATAGTAGCCAGCTAGCTTCGGTCCTGGCTTGTGACCAAGGTGTCAATAACTGTAACATTCCTATGCTAATCATGACCTTGAAAACTCATTCTTATTTTATTAGGTATGTGCGTTACCAGTCATAATCTTTTCCTTATTCTTTATATTCTTGAAAGGTGACCTCTTTCGGTCTTACTTTATTTTTTTCCCAAGTTTTCCTTAGACCAAGACTACTGGGGCTTCCTTATTCTTTATATATAGAAGATATATATATATATATGTTGGTCAAAAACCTGCTGCTTTACCTACCTGCTTCTGTCTCCATCTCTATATCCGACCAGGCAAGAACACCTAACAAAAGAACACAAATCTCTTTTCGCTTTGCCAAGAATATATATATATATATTTTTCCCACCTTGTGGACTACGGCAAAAGGAGTTATGAAAAGTATTTCTAGAAGTTTCTTTTAAAACAAGAATTTTCTAAGAAGCAACAGCCATAGCTGAGTCAAGAGCCTTCCGCTTTACCTACCTGCTTCTGTCTCCATGTTATAAACAAAGGCAACTCTCCGACCAAGCAAGAACACCTAACAAAAAGAACACAAATCTCCTCTCGCTTTGCCAAAGAATATATATATATATATATATATATATATATATATATATATATAAGTATAAATGCAACAGAAGCTTCATGGAGGACTACGACAAAACGAGTTATGAAAAGTGATTCTGAAGTTTCTTCTAATACAAGAATTTTCTAAGAAGTAACAGCCATACTGAGTCAAGAGCCAGCTGCTTTATAACCTACCTGCTGTCTTCATGCTATAAACAGTCCAACTCAACTACAACTACAACTACGTCAAACTTCCCTTCCTTGTTTCGAAGCAGAAAACCAAAGCCAACGATCGAGTGACCAAATGGGGTTCCAGAGAGACTTGCCGTTGCCACCAGTGAAGGAAGCATTTAGTGATGACTGGGCAGACACCATCAACAAGGTAGTCCCCGCGGTGGTGGTTTTGCAAATAACGACGTGTCGTGCATTTGATACCGAAGTTCCATCTTCTGGCTCTGCCACTGGGTTTGTTGTTGACAAGCAACGTGGTATTATTCTGACTAACCGACATGTCGTTGGTCCTGGTAGGTTGGTTTACTATTTCTAATTTTGTTGTTGACAAAAGCCATAATATTATTGATCTGAAATATTTATTTTAATTTTTTTCCTTTTTTTTTTAGGCCCAGTTAATGCCCATGCTATATTTTTAAGCAATGAAGAAATTCCAGTACATCCAATATACAAAGATCCGGTGAGTTTTACATTTTTTTTAAAAAAATAAAAATAAAAATAAAAAATTTATGGTTTCAATATATCTTTATAATAATACTGTTTCCATTGAAAAATAATATTTCGTACGAAAAATGATAAAACTTATCGTCTATTTATAATTAAGAGTAATGCTAATCTTGCATAATTATTTTACAAAATTCACTTATAAAAAAATATTAAATTTTGTAAAAAGAAAAAATGCTTATATTCTTGTACAATTTTTTATTTCCCACAAATTAATTTGTAATTAAATTATATATTTAAAAAATTTGTACAATAAATTATATTTTTTTTCTTGTTTTGCATACCAAACAAGCATTACGAGACAAAGGAATGTTTATTACCGTTACCTAGGAGATAGGTTATCGGTTAAGATTTAAGATTTTTAATAGAAGGTCAAAAATTCAAATGTGAAAAGAAAGAGGGAGGACTACTTCTATTATATAGTTGAGTAAATTATAAATTAGTCCCTTTAGTTTTTCAAATTAAATCAAATAGTCCCTCTATTTTTACAAATAAATTACTTAGTTCTTTTGTCTATCTCAGTTTTTTAAATTTGTTATTTTCTTTTAAAAAAATAGAAAAATAAATAAATGAATAATATGAAAAGAGGGTGAGAAAAGAAGAATATTTTTAAAATAAATAATATTAAATTAAGTATAGTCAATACTAGATAATAAACTAATTAATTTGTTTTGCAAAACTAAATAGATTAATTTATAATTTACTTTTTTTAATGAATAAAGATGAATATAACGAATGAATTTCATCCAAGGAATTTTATAGAAATAGACAAATGAAATAGATAACCCTATAGTTGGATAATATTACCATTTCTACTATTAATGGGGGAATAAATTATAAATGAGTCCGTCTTGTATTGAAAAATAAATTAATTAATACCTCTTGTTTTAAAAACTAATTATTTAGTTTTTCATATTTTGAAATTTACTAAGAATTTAATCCTTTTTGCTCTTTTTTAATTTATTTTGATTTTTTATTTTAATAAATAAAAAATGAAAAAAATATCAAAAGATTGATGAGAAAATTAGAGATTTTATGAAATAAAAATAATAATAAATAATAATAATTAACACTGATTAAAAGATTAAATAATAATAATTTTTGAAACAAATGGAACTAATTTATTTATTTATTAAAACTAGATGGACTAATTTATAATTTACTCGTAAAAATCGTTAACTCCTTTTTTTTTTTTTTTTTTCCCTTCATGTAGTATTATCCTTCCTTGTATAGCCCAAAGTTCATTGGACCTTGCTGGTGAAATACTTCTTGTAGTAATTTCTTTTGCACTGATTTTTCTCTCTATTAGGTCCATGATTTTGGTTTCTTTTCATATGATCCTGGTGCAATAAAATTTCTGAATTATGAGGAGATTCCTCTTGCCCCTGAAGCTGTTTCTGTTGGACTGGAAATCAGAGTTATTGGAAATGATAGCTCTGAGAAGGTATTTACTACTTCACATTTGAAGTTCCTCTATTCTGCTTGAGTGCTTTGTCACTTTTGTGAAGCAAAACTTGTAAGGGAGTTTGCATTTTAGTTGGCTATTTTGGCTGTTGTCTTGGCACATTTATTGTCTTTTGAGACAATGAATCGTTAGTTTCTACGCTTATTTATTTTGTTCATAAGCTCTTAACATTTGCAGGTTTCTATTTTGGCTGGTATCCTTGCTCGTTTGGATCGAAATGCTCCTACTTATGAAAAGTATGGTAATTTTATCCTCTTGGATTGTCGTTATTAGGAGTATACATACATAAATGGTTTTGTCATCCCATTGTTGTACTAAGAAAACTCAATTGTCCAATTTGCTCATTGTGTCAAGTTTTGATTTTGAGCCAACATGCAGCTCCCAAACTTTATCATTTTTTCTGCAGGGTAGGGCTTGCTCCCCTAAGATTGTGACTCTGTTTCTCTGTAATTCTGGGGTCAATATTTATTGGCAAAACTATATGTGCAACGCTTACAATCTACAAAATGCATACATCTGCCCATTTATGGAAAAAGGGTCACATTCAAACACAATCATAGGCATAGCTCCAGAGTTTGAACGCAATAAATGAGTTGGACTATTGAAGTTGTCTCATAGGATGGTTTATACAGTGATTTTAGAGCTAAAGTTTCTGGCATTAGGTTATTGCAGCTTTTATTTGGCTGGTTTTACGACTGTGAACTATAAATGAGTAAAATGCAAATCACAGCGTTGTTGGTTTGTGATAATGTGGAATAGTTCTCTCTGCTGTTCTTCAGCCCTCAGTCACTTTCTTAACATCGATTGTTATTTGGTGCAGAGATGGTTATAATGACTTCAATATTTCTTGGCAATACTATATATGCAACAATCACAATCTACAAAATGCATACATCTGCCCATTTATGGAAAAAGGGTCACACTCAAACACAATCATAGGCATAGCTCCAGAGTTTGAACGCAATAAATGAGTTGGACTATTGAAGTTGTCTCATAGGATGGTTTATACAGTGATTTTAGAGCTAAAGTTTCTGGCATTAGGTTATTGCAGCTTTCATTTGGCTGGTTTTACACCTGTGAACTATAAATGAGTAAAATGCAAATTACAGCGTTGTTGGTTTGTGATAATGTGGAATGGTTCTCTCTGCTGTTCTTCAGCCCTCAGTCACTTTCTTAACATCGATTGTTATTTGGTGCAGAGATGGTTATAATGACTTCAATACCTTCTACATACAAGTAAGTAGTTTATTCAATTCATTCTACTAATTGAAGGCCTAATTATGTATGTTGCTTGAATCATTATTCAATTCAGAATCTGTAATATTATGAGGGACCCAAGTCCCGCCCACTATCTTATAAGTGTGAGATTTTATACTGTCAATTCCTTCTTCATGTGCAAGCAGGATGCTATAACTATAAATAACTTCTGCAAAAGGGTATTCAATATACTGCTTTTCATGTTTGTTGCCCTTCATTTTCAGGCAGCATCTGGAACTAAGCCTGGCTCTAGTGGTTCCCCCATAATCAACAAGCAAGGTCAGGCAGTGGCCTTGAATGCTGGGAGTAGTTCATCAACTATGTCAGCCTTCTATTTACCTTTAGAGAGAGTGAGTATTGTTATTATTTAGGGGCCTATTAATTTTCTTGTGGTTGAGGAGTTATCTAAGACAGACCACAATTGTCGCAGTAAGATAGTAAGCTCTATGTTTTTGTGCTTGTAATACCAAGTTACTTAGAAAAGAACTAAGAATGTGTAATTTATCCATTCAACATCCTCTTTGGAGAAAACCCTTATGCTAAATCAACTCTGAAATCTTAGGCTCTTAGCTATTCACAGCATATAAGCCGTTAATCTTATTTAAGCACTAGCTTTTGAACAAAAATTGTACATTTCTTGGGCACTGATACGTATAGTTGCTTAATTTGCAGGTTGTTAGAGCATTGAGACTTCTTCAGAAGTGCAGAGATGCCTATTCAAATAAATGGGAGACAGTTTCTATACCTCGTGGTACACTTCAGGTCTGTTGTTGACATGACTTCCAAAGTTGCTGCTGGTGGTGGTCCTTCTAATGGATTGAAAGATGGATGTTTTCTGCACGTCTTTAAATGGGAGAAATACAAAACTAATAATTAGCTTTGAAGTTTTAATGTTCAAGTACTTAACTTATTTTTGTTTTTCAATGCTCTGTCTCATTTCTTCAAAGTTGACCAAGTGCTAATATAGTCAAGTTTTGCTAACAAATGCCGATAAGCAAGCATGTATGGTAAACAAATCTTAAAAGTAGTTTTCAATTGTGTCCTTCCTCAAAATGATACGGTCCATTCAGATGGATTAATCCCAGATGGATTAATCCCATATTCTTGGTTTTATCAATATGGATGTTTTGCTTGTCTTATTTTTGTATTGGGTTACAATGTCTAAGGTTCTTTTTGCCTTATGATTCAGCATAATTATACTGATTTATGATACAGGTAACGTTTCACCATAAAGGATTTGATGAGATATGCCGACTTGGTCTTCAAAGTGAAACAGAGCAGGTATTTCTTTCTCATTCATAATTGCTTGGAATATTGGTGGGTGTCTCATTCTGCTATCAAACTTTTAGATGGTACGGCATGCTTCTCTACTAGGTGAAACCGGAATGCTTGTTGTTGACTCTGTGGTGAGCATATACTTTTGTGCTTTCAGATTCTAAATTGTCAATGAAAGATTTCTTTGGCAGCACTTGCTTACTTATATTGCTTCTATGATCATGGACTTCTATAGGTGCCAGGTTGTCCAGCTTATAGCCAACTGGAGCCGGGGGATGTGCTTGTTTGCGTGAATGGAGAAGTAAGTTACTCTTTTATTCACACAACGCTCTTGAATCTTGGTTATCTGCAATGGGTAATCTTAACCCATGTATGTGAATGCTGCACCTTTTATGTAGCTTGCTGCTGTAAATGAAAGGACCAGTTCCTAAAGATTCAGATCCTTTTTTTTTTTTTTTTTTTTTTTTGTATGTCCTCGTCTTGCCTTCTATGGACATTGTGGCTCTATTTTTGGGGCTCCTTTTTCTTTCTTTGTTTCTTTACTGGACCTGTTTGCGTTTGTGGATCAGAGTTCTCTCCCCAAAAAACCTCGTTGACAGTAACAGGCTGCATTTATTATATTGGGGGCTATAGTAAATAGTAATCTTAAAATAATGGTGTAAAATGTTTGTCGAAGGTTCTAAGTTTTTGAAAGTTATCTCAAAAGAACTTGCTGTGAAGATTGAAGTATATGAGATGTTATGTATTTTGAATTGCCTATGTGTTTTTGTTTGCATTAGTTCCAGAGTGAATTAATTTGAGAGATTTTAAAGGTACTTTTTCCGATTTTGCCTTGTTTCATGTGTCAAAGATTTGGAATGTGATAGAGAAATATATAGAAGATGTTTAATTTCAAGCCAACAATATCCTGTTTATATTCATATCACATAGAATTTGAAATGAGGCTATTTGATGAATTTGTCTGTTGTAGGTAACTACTGAATTTTTGAAATTGGAGACGTTATTAGATGACAATGTTGACCAGAAGGTTGGGTTACAGATAGAAAGGGGTGGCATATCGTTGACTGTTAATTTAATGGTAAGTTTAACACTAACTTAATAATCATTTAAACTTTGTTGGTGCCTCTAATTTCATTAGAGAAAATGCTCTAAGTAGCTTCTTTTAGTACGATTGGTTCCAATTGTCAAACAAACTGCTTTCATGTTTATGTGTTTCTGTTGTTTGGTCATCGGTGCCATATCTTGTATTTGTATTCTGCTACATTGTATCATTTCTAAATCTATCTTGGTGTAATTAGTTGGTCACATTCCTCTCCCAGGATCACTTGTGTTCCATTGCTTTAGCTTCTTACAACTATCGTGTTTCTATGTATTTTACTTCAGGTTCAGGATTTACACTCAATAACTCCTAATCATTTCTTAGAAGTAAGCGGTGCAGTGATACACCCATTGTCTTATCAACAGGTAGGTTGGATTAAATTATTTATTCAGAAAGCATCACTCGGAAGTACTTGAAATTGCTGCTCGTATATTCTGCTTAACCTGCATAATTTTGCTCATCAATGTGAACATCTTGACATGTGCAACTCTTGTTTGAAACAGGCCAGAAATTTCGGCTTCCAATGTGGTCTTGTATATGTTGCAGAACCTGGGTTAGTTTATCCCAATCATCACAATTTAATTTGACTTCTCATGCATTTAGTTGATTACCTGAATGGAAGTGACAGAAAATTTTAGGCTATATTGCATAGAATCATTTGTCTTCTACAATATAGCACAACTTTTCTAAGACGAACCTCAGTAGCTTGAAATGCAATGCTCATAACATTTGTAAAATGTAATCTATATTTTTCTTAGCAAGCTTTTTCTTTCTTGATGATGTAAGTACCTCAATTTGTTTTGGTGATTAAAACAATTTAAATTATGTGGATTCAATAATATCTCCTGAACATCTGCTTGTTGGACGTGAGACTAAAGGAGAAGAAAAATTGAGGGAAAAAGTATGGATGCAGCCTTCAGTTCAAGGTCCTTGTCATGACATCATTACGAAGTTTGCTGATGCTGAGATATAACTCTTATGGTCTGCAGGTATATGTTACACAGAGCTGGAGTTCCTTGCAATGCCATCATTAAGAAGTTTGCTGGTGTTGAGATATCACAACTTGAAGAACTAATCTCCGTTTTCTCTAAGCTATCTAAGGGTGCTCGAGTGCCATTGGAGTATCTAAGGCACGATGATCGTCATCGAACGAAGGTATGCTATACATGACCTTCTGTGGAAATTGTTAACTAGTAAATATGTTGTTATGCACTGCATTTTTTTTTTTTCGTTCAGGGTTTCAGATATCTGATCTTCTGTGTATGAACACTTGCACATTGTACAATGTTACATGAACAATTATCTCTTCTATACTTTGCATAAATCAATGAATAATTGAATGTGAACATTGAGTGCCTGATGAAGTGTGAGGAAGTGAGAATTCTAATTTTTAGGATAGAAATTCGGATGATGATCTCTGTGTGTGTGCATAGTGAGTGCATGCATGCAAGCCTATGCATATGTGTTTAGGTGTGTCTTTATGCATTAATGTGCCCTTTTATTCTGACAATTATGTTTAGGAGATTGGTCTATTTTTGTTGACTCTTGTGATTACTGAACAAGTAACCCTTCTTTACTATGCATAAATCAATGAATAATTGAATGTGAACATTGTGTGCCCGAAGAAGTGAGAATTCTAATTTTAGGATAGAAATCTGGATGATGATCTCTGTGTGTGCGCGCATGTAAGTGAGCACATGCGTGCAAGCCTATGCATGTGTTTAGGTGTGTCTTCGTCCATTAATGTGCCCTTTTATTAGGACAATTATGTTTAGGTTATTGGTCTAATTTTGTTGAATCTTATGATTACTGCAGTCTGTGATAGTCTGTATTGATCGCCATGAATGGTATGATGCTCCAAAGATATACACCCGGGATGATAGTTCAGGTTTATGGGTAGTGAGGCCTGCTATTCAACCTAAGTTCCTGCAGCTGTCATCTTGCTGTAGTGATGTTGAACAAGGTCCAAAAATTGAATCATTTTCATTATCTGGTGAATCTACTCTGGTGAAAGTTATGCATCAATCTAACAAACAGGAGTTGGCAAATGGTGTTGTGAGGATAGAAGCCAGTAATGGACATATTTCTAAGAAAGCCCGTTCTAGGGAAGTATATGATGTAAAAACAAAGGAGTGCCAAGCACAGGGGCATTTATCTTCTAAGGAAATTGTTGCTGCCAACTGTTCCACCCATGAAATTGGAGAAATTAAATTGAAGGATCCAAGTACCACAGAAAAAACAGTTTTAAATGGCTTTGAAGCTGCAACTTCAGCTGCTTCATTGGCAGAAAGTGTCATAGAGCCAGCTCTTGTCATGCTTGAGGTAATATCTAACAAGTTTTATCTTGCAGTTGTCTTGAATCAGCAGCCTGCTTTCACTTGAATGCTTTTTCTTCAAGTAAACTATCTGAAACCTCTGTATTCAATCCTGATATAGCTTTATGAATTTCTTTTCCATGGAAGAAAAAACTTCAGCCAATTGACCTGACACTTCACACCTTCAATGCTGGTATTTACAGTGGAAGGCATGGCCTTTGAAACAAGTATGCTTCTCTTCGTAGAGAGTTCATCCTTCTTGTTTTTTTGATGAAAATCAATTACATTGTGAAGAGAGCCATCTAGTTGATGGAAAAAAAGAGATTACAGAGTAGAAGCAAAAGGACTATACCATATACCAGTGTTCATCCTTCTTGTTAGCAATTTTCTTATTTTAGAAAACCAGATACCAGATAAAGTCCAGCCCGTGTTGGACTAAATGGATGTACTCTCGGAAAGGAATATTAGTAGATAAGTTCCTTTTTCATTCAATCTTGTTTATGCTAGTTTCCTCATTAGACTGCACAAATAAACATTATGTTGGTTATCTCCCTTAAATATTCCTCATCATGTTGAGTGTGCTCAACTTGATACAGATGTTTGATAATATACCATTATTGTTCAGACAAGTAGAAATCAATTCACCACTTCTTTTAATAAACTTATTCTTCTTGTTGGAGTGAATTGTGAGCCATGTTATTCAGTACTTGCTATGGATAGTATGACCTTAATTTCTGTGGAATTTTCACCAAGCTGTCTTAGCAATGACCTCAACCCAAAAAGAGCACAATGTCATTAACAATCTACCTTTTCATGAAGCTCATATGCCACCTTTTATCTGATATTAGGTGCTGCTTTGTTGAATTTTTGGGTCATTTTTCTCCAGCCTTCTTATAATTCTTTTTTTTTTTTCGAAATTGTTGTGGCTGTTCTTGCAAATGATGTTGAATATGTAGAATTTCACTTTGTAGATGTTTATTCTAAGATCTTACATTGCATTGGTGTCTTGTTGCTTTTTAAGGGAGTGTACTACCAGTCTTAGTTCTCTGTTAAATCTATCTCATCAGTTAAGTAAATAGATCTTTATACTCTCAGGTTTATGTGCCACCATCTTGTTTGCTTGATGGTGTCAATTCAGTGGAGTCTTCTGGGACTGGTGTCATCATTCAACATTCCCAAGGAATGGGGTTGGTTGCAATTGACAAGAATACAGTTGAAATATCTGCATGTGATGTGATGCTATCATTTGCTGCATTTCCCATTCAAATTCCTGGGGAGGTAAAATTCTGAGAAGTAGAGATGCTGGAAATCATTGTGTTCTTTCATTGACTGCCTAAACTCTATTGCAGGTTGTGTTTGTTCATCCTATTTACAATTTTGCTCTAGTTGCTTATGATCCCTCTGCTCTTGGAGCTGATGGTGCTTCAATGGTTCATGCTGCTGAACTACTTCCTGGTGCGTTTGATTATGTAGTTATTCTCAAGTGCTATTATATGATAAAGTCTCTTTTAGATTTTTTTTTTTTAAATAATAATAATAATAAGTTTTTTGAGCTTTTAAATTCCAAACTGCTATTCTGTTTAGTTGCAAAAACGGAAACTCCACATTTCGGCTTTATAGTGAAATTTCTTTTCTGATAAATAGATTCTTCACTTGTGCAAAAGATATGGTTGTTAAAGTGTACGCTTCCTATTTTCTATTTAGTGGTGGCATGTTCTTCTCTAACAAGGAGTGAGGGAGGAGGAAAGATGAGGGTTTTTTCTGGAGCTGGTAATAAGAAAAGCAGAGCCAAAATTCTAGCTGTTTGAGTTTTGCTTGGAATAAAGAAACTCAAAGCCATTGCCATTTCAATGAAATTTTGGCTTGAGCTTAGCGCAGTGAGTTTGCTTTCAAGGCCAAACGCAAGCTGAACTCATTTGAGTTATTGAAAGAAGCAAGTTCAACATTGAAAATCATAAAACCACCAAATAATTGGTAGTTGTTACCACTGACTATTATGTGCAGTTACTAGTCAAATTTAAATACACAAATAAAAACTGCTGGCTAGCTAACTTATAGAATCACATCCAAAAATAACCTACCTTGGCCAATTAATTTGATTAAGCTTGCTTGATAACTCCTTTCATTTCAGCGTTTTTGCCTAATTTGTTGCTTGTATGTGTGTGAGGTTTTCCTCCAAGTAATTGCAATCTTATATCTATCGAAGCTGGTCACTGTAAGGATTATATTTTTACTTTTTGAGACAGAACCTGCATTATGTCGGGGAGATTCAGTGTATCTTGTTGGATTGAGTAATAATCTACGAGGACAGTCCAGGAAATCCGTTGTAACAAACTCATGTGTCGCGTTGAATCTTCACCAAGTTGATCATCCACGGTATGGAGCAACAAATATGGAAGTGATTGAACTTGATTCTGGTAAGAGAATAGATCTTAATTTCCCAAGTTCTGGGTTATATTAGTTTCAATTGCCTTATTTTCTTTGGTATTTCAGATTTTGGCTGTGGATTTACGGGTGTGTTGTGTGATGAGCGTGGAAAGGTTCAGGCCCTATGGGGGAGCTTTTCACTTGAGGTTTCTCTATTAATTTGCTTCTCATGTTTTGTTTTGTTAAGCTAGCAATTATAACAATTGAACCTCCATTTTCAACTAAAATCTGATGGCATTACATCACAGGATTATCAATTTGTTCGAGGTATCCCGATATATATGATAAGCCAAATAGTTGACAGCATTTTATGTGGTGCAAATGGGCCATCTCTTCTCATAAATGGTGTCAAAAGGCAAATGCCGCTTATTAGGACTCTGGAGGTTTCACTTTATCCCGTACTTCTTTCAGAGGCTCGAAATTTTGGTCTCAGCAATGATTGGATCCAAGTATGCCTTCTTCCTAGTACCATATTTGTAACTCTCCTATCTTTGCTTGTGTGCCGTGAATGCATATTTTCCTTAGGTCTTGAAAGTGCTTGTGAACAAATTTTTATACCAGTCTGTAATTTTTTCTGTTATATGCTTTTCAAATAATTAGCAGTTCCGAAGAAGATTGTTTCAATAATTGCCATGATTACCGCACTGCTAAAACTTTTATTTGTAGAGAGTGAGCATTTTTCCAGTCCTAATCCTATTTAATTGAATAATGTTTCCATGTAACTATCAATCCATGACCATTGATTGGTTTTCATATGCTGGATGACTGCAGCGCTCTTGATCTTGACATGCTTTTGCAGCAAAATTTTGTAGGGCAAGGGTCTTTGATTATTCTGGATATCATCTATTGACTGTTATTTACTGTAGGCACTTAGTGAGAAAGATCCAATTAGACGACAGGTTTTACGTGTAGAAGGTTGTTATGCTGGATCTAAAGCTGAAAATTTATTAAAACAAAATGACATGTTGTTGGCACTAAACAAAGAGCCAGTTACTTGCTTCCGTGACATAGAAAATGCTTGTCAAGCATTAGAGAAGTGTGGTGACAGTGATGGGAAGCTTAAAATAACCATCTTTCGCCAGGTAAGCATGTATAATGATTGTTAGGATTGAGAAAGAAGTATTGTAATTTGCTTGCTAGATAGATACGCACATATCTTCTAATATGTTTTTAATGTGAGAATAATTTGTTTGATACTGTTTTTCGTGCGGCTTGCTAGGGATGTGAAGTTGATCTTCTTGTTGGAACACATGTTAGGGATGGGACTGGCACCACACGAGCAATAAGCTGGTGTGGGTGTCTTGTTCAGGATTCTCACCCAGCAGTGTGTGCTCTTGGATTTCTTCCTGAAGAAGGCTGTGGAGTATATGTGGCAAAGTAAGCATTTGCTTTTTGTCTCAGAATTTCCTGTCTCTTTGGGATAGCAGCAGCCTTACAGTGCTAGAAACTACTTCCGGGATTTCCTTTATTTTCATGAAAAAATGGGTTGGGATTGAAGCTTGGTAGTGGTTGTTCTTGTAATTCAATGCATTAAATGGCCTCCAATGAGATGCTGATTAGTTGGCATCTTTTTAATCAACAACCTTGACCTAAAATGTTGGTGATCGAATTGCTTGTGTGCTGAGCTAATTCACTGATGAACCAGAACTGTAGTTCTGGGAGCAAGCAAATTTTGATTGTTAGATTTTTTAAGTTGAACTGTGTGAAAATATAGATTATTGCATCATAAACATGAAAATATAGATTATTGCTTCATAAACATGTGGCTTTCTTTCAACACAGACAATCCTGCTGGAATTCTCTAATGTTTGAGGGGTGGCATCTAAGGAGAAGTTTTTGTTGGCTCTGTCTTCACTTCAATGATAATCAGTTACTATATCTTCTCTTCAATGATAATTATTTATAATTGTCAGGTGCTCTCTTGGAAGTCCTGCAGATAGATATCGTCTATGTGATCTTAAATGGATTGTTCAAGTCAATGGAAAACCAACTTCTGATTTAGATGCCTTTGTTAACGTGGTAAAGGTATGGATATAGTTCTCTCAGTCTGAAAACCCTGTCTCTGTTATTAGTTACTTTTCTGAATAGCTCAGAAATATGTGAGGAGTTCAACAATAATATCAATGAGTTTGATTCCTGGTTTTTTTTTACGATGTCGTCGCATGCATTTTAATTCCTGAAAATGCTTCATGATATTTTTCTCAGGAATTAGGACCTGATGAGTTTGTACGTGTAAAGACCATTGACCTGGATGGGAAGCCACACCTGCTAACACTGAAACAGGATTTGCACTATTGGCCTACATGGGAGTTGAGATTTGATCCAGACACCGCAATGTGGCATAGGGAGACGATAAAATCATTAGAATGCAGTAAAGGATGAACAAATTGTTCTGTTCTATCTCTAACTCATTCTTTCATGGGATGATATTGCACAATATCATGCTCAGACACCTCTCCTTTGATAGTCTGGTTAGAATTTGTGGTCTTTAATTTAAACTAAATATATATAGAGAGAGATATATATTACCCTTGAGCTCATATGGTCGGTGTTTGCTCCCTTCTTTATCATTTTGATTTTCAATTTTCAATTACAGGGGAATTGTGAGGGAAAAAAGAAAAATTGACCTAGTTTTCTTTAATGGCTTCCTCTATTGTGAGGAAGATTCAAAGATGTAAGGATCTTGTCATTTAATTGAACAGTTAATGCTAAAGAATTACACAGTGGTAATGTAATGCAAATATGTGTTAGAGACTAATATAAATTATATTATGAGATCTCATCTATCAACTTAAGCTTTTAGGTAAGATGATCATTAATATAGTATCAGAATTTGGTTGAACATGTGGTCTTGAATTCAAGTCTCGTTATCCCTAATTTTTAAAGTATTAAACATAAGATAATGTAGAACTATGCAAGTTTCAGAGGATGGTTTTATTATAGAAAGTACAAAGACAATAAGAAAACACAGAAAATGCAAAATCATTATAATGCCAAGATTGAGTTTCTAAAAACGCTACCTCCCTTCTAATTCTGTTAAGTGACTATCCAAGCTGACTAATATATCTACGTGTAAGGCTTGAATTCATTCCATGATCAATCCTTGATCCAAGCTCTCCTCCATTATTGATGTCACATCTATCTTGACAACATTATTCTCCATTTCTGATATTAGTCCCTCACTTGTATTATTTGGACGTGTAACACAAGACCCTTCAAGAATTCTATCTTTGATGGTATCTTAGATGATGATCTAATTGATAGAGATTCTTCTTAGACTCCCTCTAAAGTATGCTCATCAATGCAAAAATTTCGTTGGCTTTCTTTGATATCTTGCTCTTACTTTGTGACAAGTACATGGTATCTAGCAAACCTACCTACGTTACTAGTTGAAGGTATTTTCTAGTTTCTATGTACTCAATCATGATACGAGGTATGCATCTTATTAATTTTTTATTAATTTTCATTGCAATTATATAAGTGGATAAATTTAATTTACCTTACAGTTCTTAATTTGGATCTATTTAAAATAACAATATCATCTTTCGATGGTGGTGATTGGAGTGAGTTACGTGCGAACTGGCTACCAGGCTTTGATTGGATTTTCATTCTAAACCTTAGTTTTTTTTTGGAGTAGAATGCGTATTTGGATATGAAAAGCACAGTATCCTTAGATATGATCCTTACAATAATCCTAATCAATGCAACCCTATTAATCTGCCAAAGGGATTTGAGCACTTTCTATACAATTCGAGTAAGCCTAGGGCGAATTCAGGTATGTTCTCAAAGAGTTCCCTTTCCGCTAGCTTTTTGTGCTTCGGAACTCAAAAGACTCGAGCCTCGTAGTTGGTGCTTGAAGAACAAATTTCATCCAAGTTTCAGTGATAGTGATATCGTATCACAACTTCCTTCTATTACCGCTGATGAGATCAACAGCTACCATGCTATTATAGCAAAGTAATTAATAACTTTCAATGCAATGAATGGAGAGTGGAGACATTGCATATCTTCAGTTCTGTTACATACATTATAAAAAAACCTTTCAAATAGTGATGGAAATCAACAACAAATTTAAATTTGTCACCAAATAGCAATAGATTAACAAATGAACTATGACTATGTATCACTATGTATCGAGATGTGAATTTTAGTGATGGAATACCGACAAATTAGCGATGGATTTTCAACGATGAATATGATGGCAAAATATTCATAAGTATTTTAGAGATGGGTTAACAAGGGAATTACGAGGGAAATTAGCGACGAAAATATTTTCCCATAAATTAGTAGCAAAAATTCCATCATTAATATTAAAAAAGAACGAAATTTTGAAATTCAAAATCAGCGATGGATATAAATAACATATCTCTAATCTGATTAGAGATGTATCGAGTAGGGGTGATTATTTGGTTAAACGGTTTGGTTAAGTATACATAATTCGCTTCGGTTTTCGATTAACTGAAGTAGGAAAAATAAAAACTGAAACCAAACTAAAATTAATTTGATTAATTCGGTTTGAAACCGAATTATTTTAGTTCGGTTTCGAAATAATTCAATTTCATCGAACTTTTTAGTACTTCTCCCGAAACTTCCATTTATTTTTTCTTTTTCTAAGCTAGATAATTAGCTGGGAACGTTAATGCCGAGCTAACCAGTTTCTTTTCTAAATGCCTTCTAATTTCCATCTTTTAAATCAACTCCAAGACGGATTCAAGTAACAATATTCTAAATCTTTTGATAAAGCATTGTGAAATGGGCATTTTTCCTTTTTCGATATTTTTCTTTTGCATCACACTTGCCTCTGAAAAGCAATCAACTTCCAATCAGCAGTTTCTACTGTTATGCTGAGGGCTTGTAGGTTTCCCTAAGAAAATCGATCCACACATTTCTGTATCAAACTTTCGTGTAACATAAAGCATGACTATAGTTTCCTTCATGTTTGGAGCTTCGGTTTCAAACAGGATTCAACACCTAAAAAAAAAAAAAAACTCACAATTAAAGTCGAATTTAAACTATCTCTCGAGATCTTGTAACATGTTTAACGTTCATATATAGGAAATAAGTCATGCATAACAATATTTGAAAAAACAGAGATCCGGATACAATCAACATTAAATAGCAAAAACATGCTAGATATCAATTGTCAACGGACAAAACGAGTTTTCTCTTCCTGTCCTAAAACAAGTGATTTCTGTGCATTTGCAATACCTTCGGGATCTACAATAGAATGAAATCCCAACAAGCACTCAATACTCCTAAAAGAGGATATTAATATGCTAAGAAAATTAACCAGTAATTACAATCATTCATGACTTAGCCTTGATTTACATGGAAGAAACTATGAATCACAATAATCCAAGGCCAAAATTTCTGAGGAACAACATTTAAATACATCAGCTAAGGTAGAATCAAAGTTGATAACTCCGTTCACGTGAAGTTGCTGATTCCTATGCTTCAATTGTAGATTTTTCAGGACTTTGCATTTGTTAATAGTTTAAGACATAGCACGTCATCAAATAACGAAGTAATTAACAAAAGTTGAATGAAAAATACTTAATTGATAATTTTGAAAAATTCAAAATAAATAAATAAATAAAATCATGTAATCGATTAAAAAACGTCAAAAGTTAATGTACTTATAGTTATATAGATGAGTTGAGTTATTCATCCAAGTTAACCTTTGATTGTTTTGGGATGTGGATGTGAGATTCAGTTTCTAGCTCTAGTTTAAATTGCAAGTTGACACTTGATTGTAATTATTAACAGCGACTATTATTAATTTGGTGCAGGGATGGTTACGATGACTTCAATACCTTCTATCTTCAAGTAAGTGGTTCGATTATTAATGCTACCAGTGGATCCAAATAATTATTGGATTATTTTCTATTTGCTTGAACCATAGTTGAATTCAGAAACTGTCATTTCTTTCTCTTTCTATGATTAGCTAGCTTAACATTACTATCTTTTGAAGGCGTTCTGGACTAGTTTAGGTCTTGTTTACTGGTTTATTACTGCTCTTATCTGCCCTTTTTTCTTCTCCTTTCATTTGTGCAGTGGTTGAAGCCATTGAAAGTTTGGTATCTTGCTGTTTGATGTTGAAAGCCATTTTTTTCTTTTCCTTTCTTGGTTTGGCTTTTATACATGATCATAAGCGAAAAATTAGAACATAGGCAGTGTTCATGTATCATTGTGGAGAGAAAAAAAATATACTCAGAAGTCCAAATAACATTGACAACGAGGGAAATAAGGCTAGACAATCTTATGATCAGTGGCAGATTCTTAACAGTAAATTGGTTATCTATGCTTAATAGAACTTCTCCATGCAGCTCATTTAATATACTGTTCTTTAATATCAGCTGCTCTCAAACTTCAGGGAGCATCTGGAACTAGAGGCGGTTCTAGTGGTTCCCCAGTGATTGATAGGCAAGGTAGGGCAGTGGCCTTGAATGCTGGGGGCAATTCATCATCTTCATCAGCCTTCTATTTACCTTTCAGAGCGAGTATGTTATTACTTACTTATGGCTTCTGCATTACTGATTTTACTGATTATACTGCTAAAGGTTTTATCTAAAATGGATGATAACTCATGTGGGGTAGAGTACAAAACTGCAAATTAATTGTTGAGATGAGAATTGAGAGTTTCAGCAAAGAAAATAGCGATCTCCCTATTCTATGCTTTGTAATGAGTCACTAGAAAAACACAGCTAGAATACATAATTTCCTCTCAATGTTCCTATCCGATCGAGAACGTCTAATAAATTGAGAAAGATTGTAAGAATATTTCCATGCAACAACTAAACTCTAATGAAACTTCATGTCGGCAATCTAAATTATGGCTAAGCACCAGATTTTGAACTGAATTATGTGTTTTCTGGGCACTGAAACGCATAGTTACTTTATTTCCAGGTTGTTAGGGCATTGAGACTTCTTCAGGAGGGCCGAGATGCCTTTACAAACGAATGGGAGGCAGTTTCTATACCTCGTGGCACACTTCAGGTCCGTTGCTGATGTTACTTCCAATATCTGCTTCGTTATAGGCTTGAAGTATTATGCTGGTATTGTGCTAGAAACATAGATGAAAATTTAACAAATGGCATTAGCCAGATTTCTTTTATTTCCAACTGTGTGAAACCATTGTTATTTCAATTGTTATCTGTTGGAAGATGACAGCATTATACTGTCTTCTCAAATAACGTCTAAGCTAATGTGTTTAAAGGTCTTGAGAATAGTTTTCAATAATAGCCTTACTCAAGATGTTTGGGTCCAGTGAGATGGTAAAAAACTTGTAATCCTATATTTTGGTTTACAAATGTTTGAGGATTTGCTTTACTTATAATCTGGCATGCATGAGTGTGGTGATTTATGATATAGGTAACATTTCTCCATGAAGGATTTAACGAGACCCGCCGGCTTGGTCTTCAAAACGAAACAGAGCAGGTATTTCTTACTCATGCATAATTGTTAAGAAATAAGAATAGTTGTTGGTGGCTGATTCTGCTATGACTTGTTTAGATGGTACGGCATGCCTCTCCACCAGGTGAAACTGGAATGCTCGTCGTTGACTCTGTGGTGAGCACACTATATATTTCCAGATTGTTTATTGTCGATAAAGAACTACTTTTATCATTCTTGTGATCCATTGATCATGGACTTCTTCAGGCACCAGGTGGTCCAGCTCATAGGCAATTGGAGATAGCGGATGTGCTTGTTGGTGTGAATGGGGAACTAAGTTATGCGTTCAATCGCATACCACTGAATCTTGATTCATTACAATTGTTATGACCCGAACTAACGAGCCGCGACCAGCACGTAGCTCGAGATAGACACGTAGCCCGGGATAGGATGACCCACCATAGGCTACATAAGCCTTATTCTTTTCTCTATTTTCTATCGAAGTTTAGACATCATTTCCCCTAATATTGGAGGGTTCCAAAATTTCAAAAATAATATTTCCTACATAAAAATCCACAATATACGTATATTTTCAAATTATTCTCGTTAATTCTCAACCATCATCAAATACATCCACAGGACACCAATACTTTCTCATAAATTTCATCATTTACTAAATTAACTTACAACCATATAATCTAAGATTAAACATAAATAAATCTATATTCTTACCCGAATTAGTCCACTACGGCTATTGCCGAAGTTGGAGGTCACCGGCAAGTCTTCTCCTTCCTCTCCTTCCTTCTCCTCTCCTTCTCTTCTCCTTTTTCTTTCTCTTCTCCTTGTCCCGTTCTTCTCTTTCTTTCTTTCTTTTGTTTTTGCTTGCCACTTTTGTTTCCTTTTTTCTTTTATTTTAACCTTACAAAGTTACCCAAACGCCCCTCACTTAGACCCCTCATTTTATTTATCTTACAAGGGCTACAATGACAAATCTTGATTCATTGCATGTAAATCACTGGCTCTCTGCTTTGATTTTTTAGCTGAATTGTCATTGTGGATGAAAGAACTTCTATGCTGAAGTCTCCTCTCTATTTCTCTAGGTTTTTGTGTTCCCTGCATGTCGTCTTCTTGCCTTCTCTAGACGTAGGATTTGTATATGCTTTTTTTTTTTTTAACTTATAAAAGATATGAGACACATCTCATTACAAATACATAAACATGAAAATTTCTGCAAATGTACTATATGATGACAGCAGATAAGAATGTTACCTTAGTGGATAACTTCGAAACACTAAATTCAAACTGAAATCAACTATTGCTAGACTTTTGATGCCATCTACTTTCGTTCTCTGACTTCTAACAGTTATCTCCATAGGCCTTAAACAAGCACTTCAAAACTGATTTAATTTGGTGATACTTATCTTGTTTCCTCCAACAGAAAAAGTTCAGTGGATAGCTATATAATGCAGGCATTGTTTCTAAGTAAAGCATTGCAACTGACCATTAGGATTAAATCCAATCTAGATAATGAGAAAGTTACACTAAAAAGTTTTTCTCTGATGAAATTATGGGCATCGAGCAAACTCAGTTGATCATTAACAAAGACTATGGTTATGTTTGGTATGATTTTGGATATTGATTTAACTTCAGCTCGAGGCAACAACTGTATACTGCCGAAAAATCTGCTAGCTTCTTTGTAAAATCAGATTAAGGTAAATCATCTAAAGGTCTTTCAGGCACAAATGAAAGTAGCCTAAAGGACCATAGCCATGCTCCTCGTAATTGGCATTGCTAATGCCATTGATAGGACGCAACCTTCAGGTTCACGTAAAAATTTTTCATTTGGACATATTTCTCGTTTGGCAATTCTTCAAATTTGATCAAATGCATCTCAGGTTCTGTGCACGAGAGAAACCACTTGCTTTTTTACAAACGTTCTTTATGCTATGGTGCTTAGAAAGTTCCAAGTAAAGGATATATCCTTAGGAAGTTTTCTTTTCCTAAGAAAGAGGTAAACTACTACCAAAGAAAAGAATATTAATAGGCGTTTCGTTGCCTTCACATGAATGTTAAATATTTAAGCAATCTTGTAGGTAGAGATCAAGATGTATGCCTCTTTGAAAATATAACTTCACTCTCATCTCAATCATTTTCCCTATCAACCACTTATCCTCTCCAATCAAAAAGAAAATGGCAGAAACTTTTGCAACAGACATTGCCAGATCTCTTTTAGGGAAGCTAGGCTCTTTCACAGTGCGAGAATTTTGCTTGGCATGGGGACTTGAAGGTGACCTTGCACGTCTTGAAGAGAGATTGTCAGCCATCAATGCGGTTCTGTCAGATGCCGAGAGGAAACAATCACAAAATGACAGCATTAGGCTTTGGCTCCAGAAGCTGAAAGATGTCTTGTATGATGCAGAGAATGTGCTGGATGAATTTCAGTGTGAAACTTTGCAAAGGCGGATGGTGAAAACTGGAGGGAGCATCAGCAGAAAGGTACGACACTTCTTCTCAAGTTCCAATGTGATTGCATTCCGTTTAAGAATGGGTCATAAAATAAAGGACCTCATCGACAGACTGGTTGAGATTGCATCTCTTAAGTCTGACTTTAACCTGACTATTGATTATAGTCCTGTCTTGCATGAGGAAACAGAGATGAGACCATCCTTTGAGAGCTTTTCCGGTCTTATTGGAAGAGACAAAGACAAGGAACACATCATCAACCTTTTAGTAGAACCTTTTAAGGTTGATGATGCGCATCCCTTTGTCATTCCAGTAGTTGGAATGGGTGGTTTGGGGAAGACTGCTCTTGCCAAATCAGTGTATGATGATGGAAATGTAGACACTCATTTTGAACTGAAAATGATGGTGTGTGTTTCAGATGGTTTTAGTCTGAAACAAGTGATAACAAACATGATTAAATCTACAACTGGAGAAAAATGTAGTGATTTGGATGTGGGTGAACTAAAAGCAAAACTGGAAGCAATTTTGAATGGTAGGAAATATTTGCTTCTTTTGGATGATGTCTGGAATGAAGATCCCCAGAAATGGCTCTTGTTGAAGTCTGCGTTATCGAAAGGTGCAAGTGGAAGTAAAATTATAGTAACTACTCGCAGCGAACGTGTTGCTGAGATTATGGGTACTGTTCCTGCACATTACTTGAGTCTTCTTGATCAAAAGGACTGTCTGGCTTTGTTTGATAAGTGTGCATTTAAGGAAAGGCAGAAGGAGCAACATCCAAATTTGGCTGAAATTGGGAAAGAAATAGTGAAAAAATGCAAGCAAATTCCTTTGGCAGTAATTAACTTGGGAACTCAACTGTATGGTAAAATTGATGAAAGAGATTGGAAATCGATAAGAGATAGCGAGACATGGAAGGAAAAAGAAGATGGTATTTTACCTGCTTTGAAAATAAGTTATCAAAGGCTGCCAACCCACTTGAAAAGGTGCTTTCTTTATTGTTCAATATTCCCAAAAGATTACCGATTTACAGATTTTGTGTTGGTGCAATTTTGGATGGCACATGGACTCATTCAATCATCAAATCCAAACGAAAACTTGGACGATGTTGGCTTGCGGTATCTGCGTGAGTTGATCTCTAAATGTTTTTTCCAAGATCTTGAAGAGAGTACGATGGCTGCTGCTTTTAAAATGCATGATTTAATGCATGATCTTGCATCATCGTTAGCTCAAAATGAGTGTTCAATCATAACTTCTCAAAACAATCAAATTTTCAAAACCACCCTTCATCTGTCAGTTCTTGACTCTCATTCATTTTTTCATCAAGCTCTTCCCAAGTCCCTAAATAAGTTAGATCGTGTGCGATCAGTTCTCTTTGATAGTGGTGATCTAGAGGAGCCTAGATGCAAAGCAGATTTTGAGAAATGTTTGGTTGAATTTAAGTATTTGCGGTCATTGGAATTATTGGATGATTATGAATTGCTTCCAGAAAGGATTGGTGCCCTGAAACATCTGAGATATCTCAGTATGGGTGCAAATTCAAAATTGAAAAGATTACCAAAATCTATTTTCAAGTTACAAAATCTGCAAGCTCTGATTCTAGGTTATGGATTGGAAGAGCTGCCCAGAGATGTAAGGTACATGGTCAGTCTTAGATTTTTACTTCTAATTACTAAGCAGCAGCGGTTGCCAGAAGGTGGGATTGGGTGCTTGGAATGTCTTCAATTTTTGTTCATTGGTTATTGTGAAAATCTTGAATATTTGTGCGAAGATATGCAAGGTCTTAAAAGCCTTCGAAAGTTGAGTATTTATGAATGCGAGAGCTTGATCTCTTTGCCTCGAAGCATGAAATACCTAACTACACTAGAGTTTTTGGCTATTGTCTCTTGTGAAAAGCTTGACTTCGCGACAATGGAGGAAGAGTACGAGGAAGAAATTAAACCACTTCGCCTTCAGACCGTAATATTTGAAGAGGTACCAGCAACACTAGCATTACCAAAACAGATTCTTCAAGGATCTGCAGACTCCTTACAAACATTTACGATTGAGGACTGTCCAAACATTAGAGAATTGCCAGAGTACATCAGCAAGCTAAAGAAACTTCAAAACCTTAAGATCAAGGGTTGCCCAAGTTTGAGCAAAAGGTGCCAAAGGGAAACAGGAGAAGATTGGCCCAAGATCGCTCATATCCCTAAAATTGACGTTGACGATGCTGACAACGATGAAGAAACATCTAATTAGGTACGAATTATCAGAATATAATATTTTCATATCTGGTTTCACATTTTATCGATCCTTGAATTCCTTCAGTCTCTTTTTTTTTTTAAAATAAAAAAAAAAGGAACCATTTTCTCCTCTTGTTTTTATTCTACAAGTTTGCAATGCTTATTCCAGTTGATTTGACAAATCCTATGTGTGTTTTGGATGGGTAGGTTCAATAAAAACTCCATCTGCTATACCAAAGCAAAAGAGCAAGCTGGTATGGTGTTGTATTCTCATTAAAAGTTAACTAATTCATTCAGCAACATATTTAAATTTCTCTGAACTTGCTAACAATATTAAATTCTCTGTGTTGTGTGATTTTTGCAACTCTCATGTGGGTTTCTGCTGATGGTTGTTCCTGATCTTCAATTTGTTCGTTCAAATAAAGATGAAGGAGATTAATTTCCTCTTGAGTGCTCTTCTCGTTGCCCCTATTGGTGATTTATTTGGCTTTTCATTGTTTGTTGCTGCTTCGGTTTCTTGTTCCAGTGCCCTGGGCTAATTCTTTTCGATATTCCTGGATCTGGTCCTGATGTTTTGTTTTCGTCCTGCTAGCTTCACTCTCATTACTGATCTTTGTTTGGTTTCTTGCTGTGAGGGTCCTGTTAGGTCAGATCTTCTACAATAGCTGGTTACCTGCAGAGATTGACTTGAGGCAGGATGTGTCT